TTAAATGATTGCACATGGACAAAAAGGAATTGAAATATTGATCCTTGCACTGAAATAATTCTATTAGACTGTTACAAAATTTATAATTAGTATTTGTCGAAAGTGACTGATTTTAGGTATCTAGGAAGTCAGATAAGTTAAGACAGAAGGAGTAGTGGGGATATAAAGATGAGGATAGCGCAAGGTCGAGTCGCCTTCAATAAAAAGAAGTCACTTCTATGCTTGCGAACGATTAATTTAGAAATTTGAAAAAGATTGTTGAAGAAGTATGTCTGGAGCGTGGCGCTCTACGGGTGCGAAACATGGACGGTGGACGTGGTGAAAAGGAAAAGGTTAGAAGCGTTCGAAATGTGGTGTTATAGACGAATGATGAAGATACCGTGGACAGAGAAGGTTAGAAATGAAGAGGTATTAGAAAGAATAGAGAACTCTATGGAAGTCAATTAAAATTGTCTTGATAGGTTGGTAAAACACCTTCTCAGGTCTAGTCAGAGACGTATTAGAGGCAAAAACAGGAGTTAAGAGGAGTAGAAATAGACCTAGCTTGGATTACTGTTCGCAAATATTTACGGATGTGGGAGGTTCTAGTTTTAGGGAAATGCGAAGTTTAGCTCAGGATAGGAAAGAATGGAGGTGTGTGTCCAACCAGTCTTAGGACTGACGACCTTATGATGATGATTTATCGAATAGTGCAAGAAACTTTATTCTTAGCGGTCGCATACTTAATATCGGAAGTCATTATTAAAATAGCAAAACAGAAGGTAATATGTTTATAGTAATAAATAAATGTACATAAGAGCATTTGACATTCGCATATGTTATTGTAAACAGCCATCAATTACAATCCGCAAACCATAATGTAACATGCATGCATGCATGTATGTATAAATATGTGTCATATATACATGCATTGGAAAATTAAAGTACCACAAACCGCCTGCAAACGCGACTTGTTAAAATTTCATCCCGGTTTAATTTCCTCCACATTACCAACATTACCGCAATATTGTGTAGAATTAGCAGCGGAGTTAAAACGTGTGAGCAGAAACATCGTGCGTTTTGTCTGCGGTCGAAGTCGTCCGCAAACGGCAGAGGGTATTATTCTATTTACTTATAAGTACTAATGCGTACCCGTGCACTCAGGTGATAAAACAAAAATTAATTTTAACGACGTGGTTTTAAACAGATATAAAATTTCCATAATCATTACTTTTTAATATAGAGGATATTGTTTTTACTGTCAATGTGGTTAATATGTTGATGCGTTTACACTATTCATAATCACAAAATAATAGTAAACAAATACTTAGGTAATACCCACTTATACTACAGGTACATGTACCTATGCATATGTATAATCCTCTATATACCATAAGCTAAAAATTACTCCATCGGTGAGCATTTTAATTTCGTTTTGTAAAATTTTATTTAGTGAAACCATTACAAAGTAGCAATGGCACAAAATAAACGTTACATTTTAAAAATCAGATAAAAATAAAAGATTTTCACTATTTTAAATGTGAATGATTTATGAGGATTTTTTTTATTTATCTTTGTCCAAAATAGTAGCTATTATTGCTAATTCTTCTGTTAAAAATTTGAACAAATTTTCACCTCGACCGAAGGAAAAAGATTGAAGCGCGATCGAACAGTATGTAATGCTTTTTTGTCGAGATAGGGTTGCCTCAAAAAAAAAATATGAACCGCTGCTACAGCATAAATAAATTTTAAAAATCGGTGTGTTGTTTTGCGTGCGTATATGATTGTAATGAACGGTTAAATGATTTTATCGCGCGCGTTTAATAAATAGAAACTGAAAATTAGGTTGTGTGGGTGGGTTTATTATCAAGACTTCACCGAATACTGCCCATTAATCTCAACAGCATTCGACAGAAACCAGCTTTTAACTCGGCATTAAATTTTTTACGAGAAATAAGAACTGAGCCGAGAGGAATCATTTTCAGTCGAGTATTCTAAACAAAATTCGATTTCCTTCTCCTGGACCAGGTGGTCACAGGCCTTCTTAACGGAACAACAAAAGCTTATATGAACAAAGTGTTTATTTATCTAAAGAAACTGAGCAGTTGGACGGTATCAGTTTTGAAGACGTACGCGCAAACTATTAACATGTCTGCTCCTCAAAATAACCAAACAAAGCCTCAATTAATTAAAATAATCTAAATTAGGTACAAAAATTTATTTTTAACGGATGTCATTGAGTAAGGTGTTATTTTTTAGAACGTTTAAAATAACAAAATTTTATTTTGACGATAAATTAAAAAATCGAAAAAACAATCACAATAATGCTAGACAACAATAACAATCAGGTTGAAAAAGTATAAAAATTTCCTAGTTATATATCTAGTAAAGTAGTTTTACTACTTTAGGTACTATATAAAATGATTTTAAAAATGTGAGAATTTACTGCGAAAAAGTCATATTTTTAATGATTTGAAGAATCGTGTAGCTCCTGTCAAAAAGGACTAATGTTGTAAGAGAATTATATCGAAAAAAGTTCTGAGATTTTTCAAATAAAAAAAATTTTGATTATTAGATACCAAGTGTTTATGTTCCACATTATAATTTAATATTTAAATATTGAGTTTTATTTTACTAATATGTTTTGTTGAACTAATCAGCTAAATGAGACATTCGACACCTAAGACGTGCCTTCCTCAGTTACAGGAGTGACACCTATCCCGTAAATTATAGGTACATCTGGATAACACGTGCATTTTAATTGAAAGCTTTACAATTAGTCGCAGTTGACAAATGTAGGTAATGCATGTAGGTATTAAAATAAAATGAAAATTAAAATTTTAACGAATCTTTCAAACGAATAGAATGTCTTATGCTAATTCTAGGAAAAATTGTTAGTAAGCAAGTTAACCAGTGGGGATATTATGCTTCGTCGAGCGAGCAACCCTAGCAAGCATAAAATTTATGGGATTAACACCTTTAATCTGTCCGTTTATCTTCAGAGACAAATGTTGAAAGGGTGTTAACATAAAGGATGTTTTTGTTTATTTTATCTTCGTCCCAACTTCACAATGGAAAAATATATAAATGAGTTGAAACTAAAATTACAGAAATGAATTAGGTGTACCGGTAGGTCAAAAAGAAACTCGAAATGGAGTAATTTTTCGCCAAAATACGTGTAAGGGTTTTTGTGTTAAAAAAATCAATCAATTTACTGTATCAAAAGACTAATAATGCATACGTTCTGCGTAGGTATATGAATTTCGAAAATATCTTGCAGATAGATTCAACGAAACGCTTTTAGAAGCTCTTTAATAAGCGTCTAAACACGTCAGATTTATTAAAAAATCCTTTTCGTAAATCTTAAATGACGTTTTTCATTTAACGTTATTTATTTTTTTAATTTCTTTGTGTTTTTAGCAATTTTTTTTTCAAGAAAGTACGTGGTTCATCATTTTTCTTGTGTAGTGACAAGTACACCTCTACCGGCGGGGTCTACCCATAGCAAACCAATTTCTTACCGGTTGACATACGAAATCCATTCAAAAAGTACCGCGAATTTTGAATTTCCGCGGATCGAATATACGTATCGATTTTCGATATTTTTGTGGCGTTATGTTGATACTTATGTCTCTCACATATACCGACAAGTTCGGCCATGTTCAATGTTCAGTTAATTTTTGACAGCTGCTTTGTTTGCGCGTGTTTTAGCTCGTCTTCGATTTTTGGATATTCATAAAATGGATCAAACGATCTGTATCAAATTTTGTGTGAAAAACAAAATTAAGTGCGCTGACGCATTCTGAATGTTGGCTGTAAGGCTACCTTGGACCGAAGCAACGTTTATCGCTGGTACAAAAAGTTCTCGGAGGATCGAGAAGATGTGAACGACGAAGAGCGTGCTGGACGCCCAAACACGTCAACAACAGACGAAAACATTGATGAAGTGTCATTCGATTTTTACCAATAATTTGGGCATGAGACGTGAAATTCGTACCAAAATTGCTCAATTTTGACCAAAAACAGCATCGAATTAATATTGCTAAGGAGCTGTTGGACTCTGTCCGCGACGATCCAAATTTGCTCCAGAGGGTTAAAACTGGTGACGAATCATGAGTTTAAGGTTATGATGTGGAAACCAAAGCTCAATCATCTTAAAAGAAGCTACCGCATGAGCCAAGACCGAAAAAAAGCGCACCATGTTAGGTCGAATGTGAAGATTTTGCTTACAGTTTTCTTCGATTGCAGGGACTTGGTGCATCATGAGTTCTTGCCATAGGGCAGAACGGTCAATGAGGAATATTACCTGCAAGTTATGCGCAATTTGCGAGAAGCAATTCGCCAAAAACGCCCATATTTATGGTAGAACAAAAGTTCACACAAAACCAACATACTAATAATGCCGCAGCCACCGTATTGTCCAGATCTGCCCCCCTGTGACGTTTTCTTTCTCCCGAAACTGAAGACGCCCATGAAAAGGCGACGCTACGCTACGATCGAGGAGATAAAAACGGCATCGAAAGAGAAGCTGAACAAGGTTAAAAAAAATATTTTTTTGAAGTGCTTCGAGAATTGGAGAAAACGTTAGCACAAGTGTATAATATCTGGAGGGGATTACTTTGAAGTGGCAAAATAGATATTCATGAATAAATAAATAATTTTTGAAAAAACACAAAATCGGAATCAATAGAAATCATTAATATCATCCTATACGTATACGGTATACGCAACTCTCACGAAATCTCGCATAGGTATTATTCTGATGAATGCCAAAACTTTATCTCTACTAGGTACTTTAAAGAGCATATTATTTTTAACATTCCATATTAGCTTACAGTCTACACTTGCTTTTCGTTTACGTATGAATCACGAGCTTTTGGTAATATTTCGCCTAAATCTTTGATAGTAGTAATAAAGGACCTTTTCATCTTGCAAATTTAAATTAAACACCCTTTTACCACCCCATTCTTTTCTCAATTTTCGCAACATTATTTCCCAATCTACGTATAATTGTTACTTACTACGAAAACCTCTATTCTCTTCATGTATTCCTGGTGAGTCACTATCGGCATTTTGCGGATGAGTTTCTCCATCCTCAGATATCTGCGCGTCCAAACTTTCTTCTTTAACACTGCCCAATGATACGTGTGGCTGTGGAGACATGGAAGCGCTCGCTGGGGAACACGAATCCATTCTCGGACTAGGACCTAAGTATCTCTCCTCCGAAGGAGAGAAGAAGCCATGGTTACCGGACGCGTGTTCACCACTAGTTTCTATTTTTAAGCACTTCGGGGGTGCAAAAGCTGAAGGAGACGGGAAAGCTTTCAAATCGGATAAAGGACGAAAAGCACTAGAACCGAGAGTTAAACCGGGATGTAAAAACTGCGGCTGAAGGTGGTTAAGAATATGAGCTGGAAGGCCCCCGTAGGCTTCTATGTTCCTTAAGCCAAAAGTTGTTGTAGTAAACGGTCGGTGCAGCTCTTTAGAGGCATCCCCCATCTGAAACTAATTTCAAATGTAATTCTTCTATGCTTCTGCAAATCAGAATTAATGAAATATGTAGGTACACCAATACGTATATACTGTGGAAATAAGGCACTGAACCTTCGAATTTTTATGCAGTAAATCGAATCAGTAATGATAGAAATAAGTTCAACCTAACCTAACCTAAGCTAGTTTATTTTAATTTAAACCATTATAAAAAATCCAGTAAATGTACAACGAATTCCTGATATATATTATTAAACTCTCTCACAATTATCAGTTATAAGGGCAGCTTTCAAAATTGTTTCAAAAAATTTTAATTAAAGGTATATTCGTAAAGACGTACTTACAAGATCTTTAGGAAGATTTTTTGGAAATGGGAGGAGGAAGTTAATACAGAGAGTATAAGATAAGGAAGTTCAAAAACATTAAAAAAAATGCTACTACATATATAGGAAATGAAATCAGTGCCTTTATGCAAAATTTTATTAATATCGATATAAAAATTTAAAACCACAGAGACGGACTTGAGTTGAGTTCCTGCTCATCAATAAAGCATCGATTTGGTGTAATAGGATTAAAGAACGAAAATTTTGTTAAGGATAGATGAGTGATCACAGCCCTGTCAAACCAGCTATATGGCTGATAAATACTGTACAATTTTTATGGAATTGAATAAACAAGACATAAATTTATTATATATTACCATTGGTGGAGTTCAACAAGGTAAAATTATTAAAGTGACGAAACTAGTGACAACATTCGCTTTATAAATTCACATTTCTACCCAAAATTGCAATCGAAATCAATTTGTTTAATGGAGTTATTAAAAAACTACTGCCCAAGTTATATTTTCAGTAGTTTCTTACTACATTATAATATGTTTCTTTTAGACAACATATTAGAGACTGCGGCGATCTAACATCGATAATTTGGATACCTACGCATTAATTCGAAGGCAGGGCAGTTTTAGGTTTTGATATAATTCAAAATAATAAGAATTTGGTAATCCAAAAATAAATTCAAAACTTGTTATCAGTAGCGTGAGTACCCTATAAGTTAAGTAATACGTACAAACAACAGTTAGTGCGAATTCTCCGAAAGTTTTTCGCTAGAAGATGTTACTTGTGAACGTTGGCGAAATTACATTAAAACCAAGTCTGTTTTTTAAAACCTTTAAGTGCACGCGTCGATTTTTTATTCATAAGAACGGTGCCTAAAGACAAAGGGTAGTAATAAATTAGATGTTTTATGTATTTTTGCAACCTTATTACTAAAATTTATTCATATGGTGTTCTTAATCATATTTGACAACGGTGTTATGTGCTTGTGTGAAATTGTCTTTTGTCTGTCGTGCTGTATGAGTGGTATACTAAATAAATTTTTTCTTTCTGTGGTCCACGAACCGTCGCGATATCTTTTATATTATTGAACTGTGCTGCACGAAGGGGTTCTGTGCACTGCTTCAGGCCCGCAACACGTCCTTCGACACCCCCATTTACACCATGGGGCGCACATGATTTCTTGCACCTTAATATTTAATAACAAACGTATTTACAATACAAAAATTATACAACAAATGGATCTGTCGCGCGGGAACGTTGTCGAAAGGTACATGGAGAGAAAGCCAAATTGCGAGTTTTTTTGAGAAATTTTACAATTTCAACCCGACCGACCCTCTACACAGCGCAAAAACCTGAAGACACACACGTCACTATCAAACGATAGCACCGGAAGCCTTTACCAAATTATTTAGTTAAGTTTAATAATATGAAGAAGCAGTTTTGCGATAATTCGAAAAATGTTACAATCCGAATCGATTGTTTTTTCTATCCTATACCTGTGTATTAAAAGGACGTTGCAGGCGTAATCCGTCGGTAAGTCCTCCAGTTGCTTGGGAGAAGACAACTAAAGCGGGGGAATTCATGTGACCCGTGTTCGGAACAAATGCCGAATTATCCATGTCTGAAAATATTTCACTGTCAATTATAAACAGATAACACTAATAAATAAATTATTTTACGTGCATAAATGTACTCAGTTAAATAGTTTTACGTCTATTTGATTAACAACAAATAAAATCAATTGTTTTAAACATTTGTACAATTTAAACATTTAATGAGCAGCTAAATAAATAAAAAAAAAATAAATAATTTTAACAAAAAAAAAGTATGTCTAGTTAATTTGTTGTTACTCATTCTTATAATAAATTATAACCAATTGCAGTTTATTAAGTAAACAAGTATTTAATCAATTTAACTGAAATACGTTGCCAGAGATAAATTTCGGACAAAAAGTAATTACTTAGATACTTAAAAGTAATGCAATTTTTAACTTCAAAATGCATCTCTCGACTATTCTTTGATATTAATTTAAAAGAAGAATTTAGCAAAGGTAAAAAAAAAGTTTTGCAACTAAAAATGAGTAGGTAATATAGGTAATAAGTAAAGTAATGTAAGAAAAAAATAAGGAATACTTAAAAACTGCCTGTTTTAGAATGTAAACTAAAGGTAAACTTACTTGTAACTTTTTTTCACACCATTTAGTACTTTAGTTTTGCGTAGTCCTAAGAGAATCGCGAAATCAAGAGACGGGCATTTCCCACTCACCCCACGATAACCAAGTTACAACTGACAGATGCAATCCCCACTCTGTTAGAGAACACGTTGTTGCAATGTATGCCATGCGCACGCACCACGTGCTCCTGATTCTTGATAAATAGGAGGACTACACGGCTCTCCGCCCACTACATAGTTTTTACATAATAATTATTACTTATATACTTTCGTGTATCTACCTATAATATGCATATTCACTCACTCGAGAAATTACATGTATGCGGCGCGTTGGTAGAATTTTTGGGCAATTTCAAAATTCAGGAAATGGTATTTCACTTTTCGTTCAAACAATAATACCTTTAAATTTCCATACATATCCACATAGCTACTTTTCCGACCGTTGAAGATTGTAACAGGGGCAAGCGGCCATACCTGTTTTTCACCTAATTTCATTGTCATTCAAAGTTTAATTAGTGGTAATTGATAAATATGATATTACACACTTATTATGTTGAATACTTACATCAAAATCAAATGGAACTTAACTAAACAAAATATTAAATAACGTGGAAACATTTAAAAACTTAAAATGCGTTTCGATACCCATGTTGTCATCCTCAGTTAGAGACTCTTAGGTATCTATATAGTTTTCTAAATGCTTTCACGTAGAATTTATTGAGATTTTTAGTTTANCTGTCTTTATATAATAATATAATATACCTAATACAATAGAACCTCTTTAAGTCGAACCTCGATAAGTCAAAAACCTCCAAAACTCGAAAAAATGTTTTGTTCCCTTCCCTGCAAGCCCTAAAAGCTCCATTATTCTAAACCTTCTATTAGTCGAAATACTTAGTCAGTCCCTGCAGGCCATTTTGGTACATCTTTTGCCTATATACCTCGAAAAATGTTTTATTTTACAACCTTTACAACTCGATAATTTGAAACTTATTACGTCTATAGTTCGAAGAAAACGAAGTTATCGACTTTAAGGATTTATCGACAATGTAAGTACACCAAATCTTAACATCTACAAGTCGAATCAAAATCCTCCATAAGTCGAAAACTCTATAACTTGGCGTCTCCCTTGATGTTCGAGTTATAGAGGTTCTACTGTATAATATAATATATGTATGTTACATAAAAAACCCCACTATTAGTCCATCGTGCGTTTAACTAACGCATTTCGGTGAAGCGCGCAATAAATTCTAATATTAAATTTCAAACAACGGCAACCAGGTTTTCGGTGATCGAAGTTGGTGACCACCACTTTGTATCTTGCGTATAGGGGTCCAGTTCCTATGATGTCTCATCTTCCCCTTACTAAAACATTGTCACGCAATAGTGTGATATAAAGTAGGAGCTTATGAATTAATAGTTTCCCTACAAGCTTTTAAACATGTACTTGTGCGTACTCTGCTTAATAACCTGGTATCTCTGTGGGCACTAATCTACTTCCTATTAACACTAACACCAACACCGACTCATTTCGCTTGATCCGAAAACGCCACGAAAAATGAAAAGAGAAAACCGCTAACAAAATAATTATGTATCGTGCGTTTCAAATTCCATTGCATTTTATAAAAGTCCCATTGGGATGGATCCTAACTATCGTAAACAATTTACCCTCCAACAAATTTGTATTGAACTGAGCAGACTGTTGTCCCAGAAACAGATACCCATAATTAAGAATTTCTAACGAAGAGTGGAGATAGCGAAATTGAGACAACAGAACCACGACAATATTAAAAGGAGATATTTATGGTTTTCAAGAGGATGGAGAACAAACATTTTCATCAAACAACGAACACCCCAACTAAACAATAACGTGACGGATACACTTCGATCGCGACGTTAACGATATGTGTGATCATGTTTGTTTGTGTTGATCAATCAATATTCTTTCTCTTCTGAAGAGAGAAGAGAAGGAATGGGCCCCGGAATGCTGAAAAAGAAAATAGGAAATATTGTTAGTATCATCGTTCAAAAAGGTATTTGGTTGGATGTAAAGTACTTTACTTACCTTTATGCTGAAACAAAATTGGACGTAGATTAGTAAATGGTAAAAGGTATAATTTATTGTGAACCCACTGATAGGGGGTAGTATGTACTTACCTATGAAGTTTATGTGTAGATTGTGGTAAACGTATACTCGTACTCCTTGGTTTTAAGTTTAATAAATTTTATATAGGTATCTAATAAAAATATACTTGTAACTGTTTCAAATGGATAGATCGATGATAATAATTTTATAAGAATAGAAATGATAAAATTCGAAAGTTACTTCTAAAATGTAGCATCGTGCTACAGATGGCGTTCACTGTGCCGTTTGTAGTATTTTCTGAAACGCACTGTTAAGACAGCAGGTAAAAGTTGGTCTGTGTTCTGTCGGAGCTGCCTGCGACGCGCTGATGAGATCCAAAAAGATCGAAATCGCGATCCGCGTCTGGCAGTTTCGACAGAATACAGACCACTTCGAATTATTTTACTTCTAATTTTCAACATGTTTTGATAATACTGAGATTGCAATATGCAATAGTAAAATAAATGAAATTTCATAATTAAGAACATTATTAACAATATATCTAATGTAAATTTAGAATAAAATTTGAAAAAAATTCTTGTGTCGTTAAGCTTTATAGGTACGACAACAGTGGCGTAATTCGTGTTGGACGAGAACGAGCTTAAGTAATAATCGAATTTGTGGTTAATCTGATCGCTTGGTGAAACATTTTTTAATATTATAATGAATAAAAGTAAAACCTTGGTTTATACTAGAGATGTACCGAATAGTGATTTTGCCGGGTACCGGAACATCAGATAACCGGCATTAGCTATGCCACGTACCCGGCAAAACCACTACGGTTAAATACCACCCTCACTAATGTCCCAAACCATCGACGTTTAGTAATGGACATGCCTTAGTGGTCAGAATTGTGGTACAACAAAAGAAAGAGATGGACCGAAGTTTCGGACAATATCCATCTTTCTCACGATAGTGCGTAAGCGTGTCATGAAAGAGATAGCACTAGTCCCAAAACATACGCCATCTCCCTCACTTTTCGAGCCAAGAAATTATTACAACGTCATACGGCTAAGGCACGTCCATTTATATATGTCTATGTCCCAAACCACATTATGTGCCGTTCAAAAGGTCGTTTAAACACTAAAAGAATAAAATTTTAATTCTTGGTTGGCCGATTTTCAACGAGAGGGTTCTTAGTCCTATGCTCATTGAACGAACGGTTATCACCCAACCCCGACCGTAAATACTAAATAGTAAATTTAAAAATGAATTGAAAAGAAAATAGTATTTAGTTACGGTATTTGTGCTGAAATTTTAAAAATTTACATTTTTGGATTATTAAATATTGATTAGTCACATTAGTCATTAAAAACGAACAGTGTAGCAGCATTAAAAATTTATTGAATTTAAATAAAGAGAAATTTAAATGTTCGTCAAGGTTTTTTAAACATAATTTCAACATCAAGAAAGACTTATTCTAAGATGTATACTTTTATTATTTAACTTGGCGCAAACCTTTAACCGATTCGCGAACCGCCACTGTTGTGCCAGAAGAAGATATAGGAAATACACTATACCTTGACACTTTTCATTTCAATAACACTGTCTTCCCGTCTGCACTGCTATAAATACACTAGCTGAAAAAATATCAAATAGACCCAATGAATGACAAGCAGACATGCATATAAAATAGAAATGTAAATAACATGTGTGGTATATATGTATGTGGAACACAATCCCCAAATGACAGCGTGGACAAAACACCATGTATGTATTGAAATCAGGTACCTCATAACAATTTTAAATGTTCTCCATCTAACATCAGATCCCTATAAAAACAACAACAGATACGGCATGTAGTTAATAATACGGTGTAAAGGACCTAAGCCAGCAGCTAATCATCATCATAAAACCCAACTAATAAGAATCAAAGTTTGACGTTACAGGCGCAGCACCTGTATACGTCGGTCCCTAGCACGCGGAGCGACTCAATTGGATAATATGGCAATGGACCACCAGAGGAGCCCAATAATACACTAAATTACAGTTTGTAACTCATCTTATTGGGCGCAAAAATCAAATTAGCCCCAAAATAATAAAAATCAAAAACAGAAATAGAAATGGAAATATAAAAGCTTGCCACTCGGGTCTATTTGAAACAATATTCATTAGTGACCTACTTTGAGGCGTCGGCTAGACCTTAGTAGGGTTCACCGAAACCTTAATCTATCCAGCGTTGGATGTCCACGATCCTCATCCTCTCCGTGATGAATGTCAGTAGACCGATGCTAGACTGGGTGGAGGGGAGATCCATCAACAATACTATTCCATCACATATACATATACACTTCATTTCACTTCACTACCGATCGCGAAAAAAATATCATTTAAAGACACTTTAATAACGATTCGAACACAGCACAAACTTGGATGGAACTGAAAGAAAAGAAAAAACCATACGTCAGTACCTGTGAAAATAATCGACAACAACGTGATTAAATTTACCTGCACTAAGTCCAAAAATTTTTCATAAAATGACCCTTGAACCCATAACTTCTAACCTTCATCTCATCCTCCGTAATGAGTAGGAGTGGGTAAAGAAACATCGTTATATTAAAGGTAAATCCAACCTAGATAATCACCTTCATCAACGAACTATTCACCACTTCCATTGGTGAATTATCTTCTTCCTGATCTTCAAAAATGGATGCTATTGAACTCTGCAATAGATAAACGAGATTTGAAAAACAAAAACAAAAAACTCCTTCAATGATGCATATACAGAGACATGTACATCTTTTCAATTATTTTCAGTAAATAGTCAATTAGGAAGTGTTTGAAAAATTAGTGGAAACACCCTGTATCTAAAGTGAAGCTGGTGACCTCTGTGGATTATTAGTGTTACTTAGTTTGGACCACGACCTAGAGTGTGTAACCTGTAAACGGTCCGAGAGAAGTAACGAAACAATGTTAGATGGCGGCAATTCCTGTGTAATCCGTCAGTTTATCCCCCAAGATGGAGCCCTCATCGACTTGAGGTCCGGATAACGAACGACCTTCAAACAGCGAATCATTACAGTGAGTCTAGAGTCATGGTTGTCCGTTGTTTTTGTTTGGGTGTTAGGGGTAAATGTCGAGTGTTGTGTCGCGAAAAGTTTTTAAATACCAAATACGTCAAATTTTTTAAAATAAGTTTTTACAGGTTTTGTAAGTATATTTATATAATTTACTTTATCTAAAAACTAATTTTGGTAATTTTTAATAATATAAATATGGTTGAGGCATGTAAGCGCTGTTCTTTGTTTACAGACATATTCTATTGTGTGTTCCCCATAAAATGATTACTAATACCGAGGTAATACTAGAATGAATTTGTTGGTACATCGCGGCTAAAACCATCTTGGAATGTGGTCATAGATGCTCTGGAGAAATTATAGAGAATGAGTGAATTTAACTCTGCATTGGTGAGTTAATTTATTGTTTGCCTTTGGAATGCATTCCATGGTTTTTGAAATTTTTCGTTTTTACACCTGTTCATCATTGCACTTTTGTGAGTTCCTTATAACAAAATAGTACACTGCTTGTAAAACACCACATTTGTCAATAATTTCAAAGAGAAATTATTAACAGATATAGATATACAATACTAAAAACAATGTACATACAAAGGACACTAAAACAGTTTTCTCTTTTTCAGGCAACATACACTTCCACAGCACTAATCACTCTAAACAACCCCAACCAAGATGATTGCAGACCGATAGCAAAGAAGACTAATACTTGAAGTTAAGGGTAAATAAAACCAATGAATTAAAATCAATTTAGAAAGACAAGAGATTTTCTAAATTGATAATAACTGGTTAAGTTTTATTTATTGAAAGTTTCACTTCTTTCACGTATCATTTAATGTAGTTGTAATTATTTATTTTTATTTTAAAAATAAAAAACAAAGGAGACAGTCGTAAACCAAGTGACTACTAACAACATTTGCATAACAGTTTTTTTTTCACTGAAAAAAAAATCCATTAATTAAGTTCAAAGCAATCTTACCTTTGACCCATGCCAAACTTGTCCATGTTGGTCGAAGGGGATTCTTTTCACCTTAAAGTCTCGGTTGTCCTGAATGTTTACTCCGATGTTGTTAAAATGGTTGAAACCATGTAGTGGAACGATTTAATTATACAGATGGGGGGCCAAAACGCTATCAATTTTCTGGTGTCTTATAAAAACCATTGTCTGCAAATAAAAATTCGAAACTGTCTTAATTCCCGTCAAAATATTGTACTAAGTCGATTGTCTAACAAATTCAGCCAAATCATACTAAATCAGCATTTTGTTTAATGAAAAATTAAGAAATTGTCTGTTGTTAACTTGAGAAGGTACATTCCAAATACTAAGAAAAAAACGAATTACCAAAAAAACTAATAAGCATGTCGTATTCTGCAATATTTAATGATAATAATTTGACTATTAAATGAGTTCCAGCAAAAACTTTAATGAAAGAAAAAGAATTTAATTTTTCACCCATCAAAACGACGCTTAACTTCGCGGAACTACAATATTGTAATGGCGCACGCGCTAGGAGCGCCAACTGAACGATCTGAAGTAGCACTAAATAAATTTCAACCCAAGCTATTTCTGATATAATTTTAAATATTAAATAAAAAATTTGGGCGATAATTTGAAAGATATTAATTAAACATTTTAGCAAAGTCCATGGTGGCAGTACCTATTAATACCTCAGAATAATTCACACAAGTTCTTTGAATTTAAATGCCTACGTATGTATGTACATTCTTGGACCATGTCGTACCTCAAGAATGTATTATCAAAAATACCAAGAAAAAAATAAGTAGCCAAAAAAAATCAATACGCACATCGTAAACTGCAATATTTAACTATTCGATTCCGATAATTACATGTGCTCCAGCAAAAATTTTTAACCAAAGGAATTTATTTTCTTACCTAAGACAATCAAGGTCTGCGTAACCCGGCCATTACTGACTGAAAAATGGCTACTGCTAACTACCGGCGAAAACGTTAAACTACCAATTTCTAAGCCCTCTTAGTTATATGTGTCGTTAAAATTAAATAAAAATTGAAGAATGCATATTTTTTTCTAAAATACAACAGTACGTAGTAAGAAAATAAGAATTGACACAAGAAATTACGGTAAAAACATGGTGGGACCAAGAATGTCAAGTAGAGAAACTGCGAAACTGGATTAAAAGAAAAGGAATATATAGAAAAATTAAAAATAAAATCAAGATACTACAAATGAAAAAAAAAAAATACCAAACAGTAAAGAAAAAACAAAAAAAAGAAGAATGAACAGAAGAAAGGATAGAACAGGAAGAAGTTCTGGGAATTAATAAATAGACAAAGAGCAAGAAAAGAACGTGCAAGATGGACGAATGGATTGAGCACTTTGTTAAACAAATTGGGGGGGGGGAACAATAATAGAAAAAGAAAAAATCGGTTAAAGAAAAAAAAATATCGAGAAATAATAAAAAAAAATAACAAATAGACAATAAATAAGGCTTAAAACAACATAAGATTTTTTAAAAAACAGTAAAGTATTTGGAGGGTTTAATTGGACATAAAATTGAAAACTTTAATACGACTTGGGCCATGTCATGCCTTGAGAAAGAACTGTCAAAAACAACAAGAGAAACATAAATTACCGAAAAATGTAATGCACTCATTGTAATCTACAATTTTTAATGATAAGATTTCAACAATTGCATGCCTTTCTGCATATATTTAATACAATTAATTTCTTACGTAGGAAGTGCAAGAGCTAGGCAAAACGACCATTGTTTTCTTGAAGACTAGCTGCTGCCAACTGTCGGAGAATACCGTGAACTGTTTCTAAGCCATCTTAGTTATGTGTATCGTTGCTTTTTATGTAAAAATAGGTTGAAGTAAATTGAAATTAATTAATTAATTTTTTTTAATGTTTAAAGGTCGGTTAATTTGTTTTACAAACAAAATTGAATTAACCAAATACTAATTAATAAAAAACGTTTCAACATAAAAGTAATTTTGTTAATATCGTGTGTTGAATCATATACAGGGCGTACACCATATAATATACCAAAGAACAACGTTTATGTGCAATTATTTTTTACCTGCCAGTTCGTTTGGGCAAAACTTTGTAATTTACTATTTATAATAAATTCAGTTGTTATAAATAAACAATTCAAAAGAGTAATCTAGATCATTCCTAATAACCTGCTCCTCATCGTCGCGAAGTGTCTTCGAAATCGGTTGGAGTATTTCGAAGATTAGACAAAAATTTTTTTAATGGTTTACTATGAATCATAGTCTGTAGTTGTTCAATGTTAATGTTTTACACTATTTATTATATCATGATCATTACATTATGTTCTACGGAAGTAGGGAAGCAATACAAATTGTAAAACAATTCAACAAGTTATACGGATAACCAGGTATGCGGCTTTAGTTGTTCCGGCGCCGTTACCGGATCCAAACCGGATACCCGGTCCATCTGTAGTTTATGTAGTATGTGATTTCTTCATATTTTATTAGAAAGGATATGTCATAAACACGAACGAATTAAGCGAACTATATTTTCTTTAAAATAAAAATGGTGTTTTTAAAAAAAGCGGAAACGGATTTAGTGAAACATTAATTTTTAAATATGTGTATTTTAGATTTCATTCGTGCAACAAAAATGAACTCTTTGAGTAGTACTTTATATAAGTAAATAGTTACCTGTTCGGTGTGCTCAAATTTATGCAATATCAGTATGTACTGTAAACAAAATATGTAGAAACTAATGTGGAAATATTTGGCTTTAAGCCTGCTCTAGATGTTTTTGATCTTGTCATGATGTGACGGTCTAGCTACGACCATGAATAGTATGTTACAGTCACATTAAAAAATAACAGATTATTAAATAAATATCCATTACTACCTTTACACTCTTTGGTTTGCATGTTCCATCTATGGGTTTTTAGTTTATGGTTTCTATATTCTCTACGGTTTCTATTGTTCAATTTGTCATGATGACAGCCATAGATTAACTACAGCTGTTTATCTGTTTTCTAGTGATGCGTGTGTGTTGATCTGCAATGGCTGCAATGTAAGTGCAATGCGATGAAACAATAATAAAAAGTGGCTCAAAATGCTTTTCAAAATTGAATTATAGTGTAACTAAATACTAAAGTTCAATATCTTTTGTGGTATTTCTGAGTAAATGTGAGGAACTTAGGAATTCTCCATACCTACAACTTTTTGGAGTAGTAAGTAGATCTCCTACAGAGTAAGTTTCCAGATTGTTATAATTATATGTATATGTGCCTCTTATTAAAAGTGTACACCAACTAATATTGCCGTTTATTATGACAATTATCGGTATATTATTAACTTTTTGGCAAAACGTTTAATCCAGCTCATTTCACAGTTTAATGAACAAAGGCCACTTTTACTTTTTATGTAACGCTGCAAAGTATAATACGTAAGTATGTACTTTATTTAAAACGAAATTTGTATCCGTGGGTAGTATTGCTTAAATGATTGATCTTGTGGTTAATTATTTGTTTAACTATAATGAGCTAATGTTTAAGGAAAAAAAATTATGTGTACTTATATGTGTATATTTATATAGGCATTTTTCTAATTTTTATGTACTTACAAAGTTGGGTACTCGATTTACACTTAATCAAGGGACAAGGCAATTCAATCCAGCATTCAGCTAACCAACTTGGTTCTTGGTTCTTTTTCATAATACAGCTTACAAAAATTATTTTTGTAGCTCTGGTTACATTTTGTTGTACTACTTATACACTTTTTATTATTTCAGAGTAGATAAATAATAAATAGTATATTTATGTTTAAAGAGATATACACTGGTTATTTAGTTATTGTAAATTTTTAGATGAGATTGGTATGCAATTAACTAAGAATGTAAAGTTACTATGAAATATACATAATTTCTTGATTGGTAGATTATGAAAAATTTTATATTGTTCAAGAAATAAAACAACAATATTTCAATTAGAGTTTCACTCTACAATTGTTTTGGCTTATGATACCTTTGTCAAGAGTATGTAGCTACAGTAACTAAAATCTTTTATAATAGAAGAATGCTTTAAGAACAAACAAAATCGCTATTACTCTTGATTCAGGCAATAATTCAGTTCAATAATTAACCATTAGCTTAATTTCTGAATGTTATTTAAAAATTATTATAATAGGAAGTACATAAATTGTTCGCTGCCTATTGTGATCCTTACCTCGCACCTTCCTGTAAATACCATTATAAATAACTATTAATGGTCCTATTGTTATTGTTAATTTTGTTACATTTACAACTTAATGAGCATTATTGCTATAGGCTAGATTTAGAACGTCAAATTAAATAGAAAGTCTGGACGCCAATATATGAAAATGGAATAATCAAAACTCAATGTTATAAGAAGTTACAATCAACAAATAAGTTGATCTTAATTCGAAGCTCCTAAATTCTACCAACTTGATTGAATATATTTAGTAAAAAAAGAAATCGAATTTATTGACTACGTTAAAAGTGTGATGAATTAAAATTATTTTCAGAGATGTTTAATAAGAATGAAGTTATTGTGATTTAAAAGAAAAACCTACACGGGAACATGTCGAGTGGATCGTCTGCGACAGGAGTGCTTCCAGGATCATCTGGAGATGCTCCTGTACATCGAAAAGGACATCGGAGACAAGAATCTATGTATGCTATGACTNGGTTTCTATTGTTCAATTTGTCATGATGACAGCCATAGATTAACTACAGCTGTTTATCTGTTTTCTAGTGATGCGTGTGTGTTGATCTGCAATGGCTGCAATGTAAGTGCAATGCGATGAAACAATAATAAAAAGTGGCTCAAAATGCTTTTCAAAATTGAATTATAGTGTAACTAAATACTAAAGTTCAATATCTTTTGTGGTATTTCTGAGTAAATGTGAGGAACTTAGGAATTCTCCATACCTACAACTTTTTGGAGTAGTAAGTAGATCTCCTACAGAGTAAGTTTCCAGATTGTTATAATTATATGTATATGTGCCTCTTATTAAAAGTGTACACCAACTAATATTGCCGTTTATTATGACAATTATCGGTATATTATTAACTTTTTGGCAAAACGTTTAATCCAGCTCATTTCACAGTTTAATGAACAAAGGCCACTTTTACTTTTTATGTAACGCTGCAAAGTATAATACGTAAGTATGTACTTTATTTAAAACGAAATTTGTATCCGTGGGTAGTATTGCTTAAATGATTGATCTTGTGGTTAATTATTTGTTTAACTATAATGAGCTAATGTTTAAGGAAAAAAAATTATGTGTACTTATATGTGTATATTTATATAGGCATTTTTCTAATTTTTATGTACTTACAAAGTTGGGTACTCGATTTACACTTAATCAAGGGACAAGGCAATTCAATCCAGCATTCAGCTAACCAACTTGGTTCTTGGTTCTTTTTCATAATACAGCTTACAAAAATTATTTTTGTAGCTCTGGTTACATTTTGTTGTACTACTTATACACTTTTTATTATTTCAGAGTAGATAAATAATAAATAGTATATTTATGTTTAAAGAGATATACACTGGTTATTTAGTTATTGTAAATTTTTAGATGAGATTGGTATGCAATTAACTAAGAATGTAAAGTTACTATGAAATATACATAATTTCTTGATTGGTAGATTATGAAAAATTTTATATTGTTCAAGAAATAAAACAACAATATTTCAATTAGAGTTTCACTCTACAATTGTTTTGGCTTATGATACCTTTGTCAAGAGTATGTAGCTACAGTAACTAAAATCTTTTATAATAGAAGAATGCTTTAAGAACAAACAAAATCGCTATTACTCTTGATTCAGGCAATAATTCAGTTCAATAATTAACCATTAGCTTAATTTCTGAATGTTATTTAAAAATTATTATAATAGGAAGTACATAAATTGTTCGCTGCCTATTGTGATCCTTACCTCGCACCTTCCTGTAAATACCATTATAAATAACTATTAATGGTCCTATTGTTATTGTTAATTTTGTTACATTTACAACTTAATGAGCATTATTGCTATAGGCTAGATTTAGAACGTCAAATTAAATAGAAAGTCTGGACGCCAATATATGAAAATGGAATAATCAAAACTCAATGTTATAAGAAGTTACAATCAACAAATAAGTTGATCTTAATTCGAAGCTCCTAAATTCTACCAACTTGATTGAATATATTTAGTAAAAAAAGAAATCGAATTTATTGACTACGTTAAAAGTGTGATGAATTAAAATTATTTTCAGAGATGTTTAATAAGAATGAAGTTATTGTGATTTAAAAGAAAAACCTACACGGGAACATGTCGAGTGGATCGTCTGCGACAGGAGTGCTTCCAGGATCATCTGGAGATGCTCCTGTACATCGAAAAGGACATCGGAGACAAGAATCTATGTATGCTATGACTGGCCTGTATTCAGAAAGTGTCCCTGAAGATGATAATGAGAGCCAGAAACCTACAGCATCTACGTTTTGTGATACAGTAATTAAATGTCATAGTCGAAACCCATCCACTGGCTTTGACAGAGAAAAAGCTGCTTTTAAAGATAACTTTAGCGAACCAACAGCTGTGATATTAAGAGATACAAAGGAATGTGGGATCCTTAAGTGCCGACCTTTGTTTCTACAAAAATACGCTGGAATTAAAGTAAGCTATAAACATACATATATTTGTAAGAATATTTATTTCGCTTTTTTCAGAGTTTTGTACTTCTTTTATCATTTTTGGTGACACTTCAGCAAGCCTTGAGCTCCGGCTATATCAATTCTGTGATAACTACTATTGAAAAAAGATTTGAAATACCTTCAGGTCTCTCTGGACTTGTGGCTTCTTCTTATGAAATAGGAAATGTGATAACTGTTATCTTTGTTAGTTATCTTGGTAGTAGAAGACACATACCTGTCTGGATTGGAGTTGGCACTGTGATAATGGGAATTGGCTCTATTATTTTCATGATACCCCACTTTACGTCAGAGGAAAACTTTGGATCAACTATTGCAAATATTACAGATGAAAATATGTGCAGAGTGGTTTCAGTTAGAGAACAAGATATAGATCTGGGTAGATTTTCTCCAGGATTGTCTTCCCCTCCTTTAGCGCCACATAATAATTTAAGAGGTGACAACTGTATTCAAGGCTCTCCTTCCACAACGGGACCTGTGCTCCTGTTTGTTCTTGCTCAACTGTTACTTGGCTGTGGCGGTTCACCACTTTTTACTCTCGGAACCACGTATATTGATGATCACGTTAGAGCTGACAGTTCTTCTATCTATATAGGTATATATTTATAACATTATACTTATTTTTTTGTTTATTTTTAGAGTAACTTCAGTAATGCTTTATAGGATGTATGTACAGCATGGCTGCATTCGGTCCAGTTTTGGGATTTCTGTTAGGAGCTTACATGTTATCATTTCATATGGATTCACTTACAAAATTAATATCTATAGGTAAATAAAGAATAAATATTATTTTATAGAAACGCGGTGTACAATTTTAATAATAACAAAATTTATATTTCAAAATAAATATAAATATGAATATGTTTTGCAGAAAGGTATCCTCACTTTTCTACAGGTACTTTTTAAAATGGTTAAACTTAAGTAAATTTTGATTTGTGGCCAAAATCAATTATGATTGAAAACTATTTGCAATGGATTATCAATACTTTTATTGTAATAACATTTTTGTTGTACTTCCATTCATTCTCCTATTTTTATTAAAATTGTACAAGACAATGGCGCCCTGATAGTAATAATAATAGTGATAATATTTTTTTTAAGACCCAGGTGATCATCGATGGGTGGGTATGTGGTGGGGAGGTTTTTCTGTTAGCAGGACTTTTATTAATTTTAATATCGATACCATTCTTTTCATTTCCAAAAGAAATAACACACGAAAAAGAAAAAATAAAGTTTATAGAGAAAGCGGCCCAAAAAAGCTCAGGAAATGCTAACACTGCCGCTAATTCCCAATCTCAGCAGAGTGACTCGGGCTATGGGAAGGACATTAAAGGTTATTAATTATGATTATTAATTACATAATGAGAATGTCTAATATTGTTTCAATTTTTAGATATACCTCGCTCAATGTTAAGACTAGCTTGTAATCCCATTTATATAGTGACATGTTTGGGAGCATGTATGGAATTAATGATAGTATCTGGTTTTGTTGTTTTTCTACCAAAATACCTAGAAACACAATTCAGCTTAGGGAAAAGTCAAGCAAGTGTCTTTACAGGTAAATTAAAACATGTTTGCTGAGATAACCATAATTTTAATTTGATAATATTTTTTTTAACAGGTTCTATTGCAATTCCTGGTGCTTGTATAGGTATTTTTATGGGAGGATGCATACTAAAGCGTATGGAGTTACGCCCAAAGGGTGCAATACAATTTGTTTTAATTGCTAACTTAGTGTGCCTCTCCTGTTATGCGTTGTTATTTTTCTTAGGATGTGATAACTTAAAAATGGCTGGTACAACCATTCCATATTTCAACAACACTCGCACAGAACCATTCCAAGTAAACTTAACGTCGTCCTGTAATTTTGGCTGCGAATGTAGTATGAATGATGTTGAGCCCGTTTGTGGGAACAATGGACTTACTTATTTTAGTCCATGTCACGCAGGGTGCACTTCTTCTTCTAGGTCCAACAACTATCTTAATTGTGCATGTAAGAAATGACTTTTTTTTCAATGCGTTTTTAATATTATTGTACCTTCGACGTAGGCATTCTTGGAAATGGGTCTATTATGGGTGGATCAGCACCAGGCGTTGCTGTCGATTCTAATTTTGATGAAGTTACAGTGATACCTGTGGCTACAGCAGGGGCATGCAATTCTGCATGCCATACTATTTACCCCTTTTTGATCCTTCTTTTTTTTATGGCCTTTGTAGTAGCTATAACACAGATGCCGTTACTTATGATTGTTTTAAGGTAATGTATTTTCTTATTGGTCCTATTGTTATTGTTAATTTTGTTACATTTACAACTTAATGAGCATTATTGCTATAGGCTAGATTTAGAACGTCAAATTAAATAGAAAGTCTGGACGCCAATATATGAAAATGGAATAATCAAAACTCAATGTTATAAGAAGTTACAATCAACAAATAAGTTGATCTTAATTCGAAGCTCCTAAATTCTACCAACTTGATTGAATATATTTAGTAAAAAAAGAAATCGAATTTATTGACTACGTTAAAAGTGTGATGAATTAAAATTATTTTCAGAGATGTTTAATAAGAATGAAGTTATTGTGATTTAAAAGAAAAACCTACACGGGAACATGTCGAGTGGATCGTCTGCGACAGGAGTGCTTCCAGGATCATCTGGAGATGCTCCTGTACATCGAAAAGGACATCGGAGACAAGAATCTATGTATGCTATGACTGGCCTGTATTCAGAAAGTGTCCCTGAAGATGATAATGAGAGCCAGAAACCTACAGCATCTACGTTTTGTGATACAGTAATTAAATGTCATAGTCGAAACCCATCCACTGGCTTTGACAGAGAAAAAGCTGCTTTTAAAGATAACTTTAGCGAACCAACAGCTGTGATATTAAGAGATACAAAGGAATGTGGGATCCTTAAGTGCCGACCTTTGTTTCTACAAAAATACGCTGGAATTAAAGTAAGCTATAAACATACATATATTTGTAAGAATATTTATTTCGCTTTTTTCAGAGTTTTGTACTTCTTTTATCATTTTTGGTGACACTTCAGCAAGCCTTGAGCTCCGGCTATATCAATTCTGTGATAACTACTATTGAAAAAAGATTTGAAATACCTTCAGGTCTCTCTGGACTTGTGGCTTCTTCTTATGAAATAGGAAATGTGATAACTGTTATCTTTGTTAGTTATCTTGGTAGTAGAAGACACATACCTGTCTGGATTGGAGTTGGCACTGTGATAATGGGAATTGGCTCTATTATTTTCATGATACCCCACTTTACGTCAGAGGAAAACTTTGGATCAACTATTGCAAATATTACAGATGAAAATATGTGCAGAGTGGTTTCAGTTAGAGAACAAGATATAGATCTGGGTAGATTTTCTCCAGGATTGTCTTCCCCTCCTTTAGCGCCACATAATAATTTAAGAGGTGACAACTGTATTCAAGGCTCTCCTTCCACAACGGGACCTGTGCTCCTGTTTGTTCTTGCTCAACTGTTACTTGGCTGTGGCGGTTCACCACTTTTTACTCTCGGAACCACGTATATTGATGATCACGTTAGAGCTGACAGTTCTTCTATCTATATAGGTATATATTTATAACATTATACTTATTTTTTTGTTTATTTTTAGAGTAACTTCAGTAATGCTTTATAGGATGTATGTACAGCATGGCTGCATTCGGTCCAGTTTTGGGATTTCTGTTAGGAGCTTACATGTTATCATTTCATATGGATTCACTTACAAAATTAATATCTATAGGTAAATAAAGAATAAATATTATTTTATAGAAACGCGGTGTACAATTTTAATAATAACAAAATTTATATTTCAAAATAAATATAAATATGAATATGTTTTGCAGAAAGGTATCCTCACTTTTCTACAGGTACTTTTTAAAATGGTTAAACTTAAGTAAATTTTGATTTGTGGCCAAAATCAATTATGATTGAAAACTATTTGCAATGGATTATCAATACTTTTATTGTAATAACATTTTTGTTGTACTTCCATTCATNTATGACAATATAAAAAATGAAAGTAATAATAACCATTATTAAATGTTTATTAATTATATACGTATATTATATTTTCAGATCAGTTAGTGAGGAAGAACGATCGTTCGCATTAGGAATGCAGTTCGTAATATTCCGTTTGTTTGGGTATATCCCTGCTCCTATATTGTTTGGAAACTTGATAGATTCTACGTGTCTGTTGTGGAAGAGCACTTGTGGCGCTAAGGGAGGTCGTTGTTTGCTGTATGATATTGAACAATTCAGATTTCGTTATGTTGGACTTTGTGCTGGAATTAAGATTCTCGCACTTACCATTTTTTCAATAGATTGGTGGTTAGTAAGACGTCGTAAACAACTGGAAAAAACCGCAACAATCACAGCTAATGAAATTGTTGGCTCCATAATAAGTTTAGATAAACGTAAGTTGTTTATTTTTTATATTGTTTAGATTGCTAGAAATGTTAATATCTTTGTTAAATGTTGGCTTCCTTGAACGCAATTTACATTCTTTTATATTTAAATTACTGATTGTGATCTCAGTTTATAAATGAATATTAATGTTAATTCTACAACAACGTAATCCTTGTCGTTTTTGCACAGTGATCTTCATATATGAAAATAGCTTAGAAACAGTTTAACAAATCACTGCCATTAAACTGTGGAATAATCTTTCTGAAAAAATTGGGAGAGCTGCTTGTATCTCGTCATTTAAAGATAACAAATAAGAAGTTCATGGCGGTTATTTGTTCAATTTTGTTACGTGTCTATCACGTTGCGCCAGTAAAACTCCTTTGTTTGATTATCATGTATAGGAAACAATGACGCCTGATTTTACGAACTAAATTTGTTTTTTTTTTACATATTTACAGTGTTTGAAGAACGTCACCTTCACTTCGGCCATCGCAGAAACTTGAGTTCTGTTTCGGCGTGTGAAATAAGTACAGGTCACAAGCGCAATACAAGTTCCGTTTCAGCTTGTTCTGTCCCAGTATCATGCAAACCGCCAATGTATGACTTCCACGAGTTTTCTGCATCTGATTTGCGAAAAAAGCTTCAAATAAGCACCAGTTCCAGTCCTAAAGAAAATGAAATAAAGACACCCAGTCAACAAATTGTTGCTACTAGTGCAGTTAACACTAACTCGTCCTGTGAGGAAGTTAAAGACAACCAAGAAGTTCATGTTTAACAGTAAATTGTCTATTAGTCTTTAATTTAACATTATTGTAATATATTAACACTTGTTAAGAAGGCAAATTAGTATTTTTTAACTTGTCCAAGTTGCTTCCATTGATATGTTTTTAACAACCAATTTTTTATGGGAAAATGTAGTAATTTGAAGCATAAGATATTTTAATGCGTTTAGTAAGATTTGCACTTATTTATTATATTCAGAATTTAATACTGTTTGATGCTGATCTCTCCCGTGTCAATTCGCAATTTAGAAACGATGTAATACTCACAAATTAAATTTTAATTACTGTTGGATATGTACAGGTTTGTTTGTTTACATTTCTTCTTGATTACGTCTTATTGTCAGTCAAAAATATTTTTAATAACGTAGCTTCAATAATTTCTGTACAACAACAATTCAAAACTTAAAGAACTGATTTCATTTTTATTTGTTAAAATATCCTTTTAGGTGTTCATGAACTTAACTTCTCTTATTTAACGTACTTATTTATTTTGACTGAAATTCGAGGTGATCCCGTATTCATGCATAGGTTTACAACTGTGTTAATCCTATGTATAGTAATATTTCAGTACTTATGCTCTTGCTATTGTTACTACAATAAATTCAGTGCCACAATCGAAATAGATTTTAGGTAAATTTAAATAATAGATCTGACTAAATATTGTACACAATTGACTATCATTCATAAACGGATAAAATATTTATTATTTATATATAATTGTTAATTGAAGTTTCAATTTTTTTGAGATCTGGTTTTACTTTTTTAAGCTAATATTTTTATTTTTATGGAGATTTGTAATTAAATAAATAATTATATCAATGAAAAGTCACAAACGATACAAATGAAGCCGTAACATTTATTGTCATAGCTTAATTATAGACAATACTTTTATATCAGGTATTCCGGTGCTTTGTAACGTTATTAGGCATAGTTAAAATCAAACTTAATCTTATAACTACAGTCATTAAGTATGTTAATTTTAACCAAAATTAATTTTTTATAAGTAGGATTATCATGATTAAGGATATTATTTTTTACTTAAAACGAAATAGTGTTTTAATTAATCAAGCCTATGTATGTTAGTTATTGGCTTATAAGATCCAGAGGCAGACGGTATTGTAAAAGTGATTCACATATTGTTCAATCTTTTTTATGTATGTAAAAATGGTTTATTTTATCTTTTTCGTTTGTAATGTAATTAACAATAGCAGGATATATTTATAAAATTACATAAATTGGCACTAGAGTATTTTGGAATCTTATTAGAAGCGATATTTTACAGATAGTGAATCATTTGGCGGTCATAATGTAATCAGGGTAAACAAATTTATATATTTTAATAGAATAAATGCACAGTTTATAATAGTTATAGAAAAATGAAGCACATACTCTTGAAGCAATGTTTTGAGAAAAAAATAGTGGTGAAAGCAGTAACTGCTATATTTTTTTAGCCAATTTATTTTGTGTTATTTTCTAAAATCGGAAAGTAGTTTTATGCGTTATTCAGGCATTTCTATCTTATAACGAATTCATTTACGAATGTAATATGGTTTACAAGCAGTTGGATTATTATCATCAGACGAATTATAAAACAGCATTGCTTTGTAAAACAAAACAAAATGGATTTTACAATATGAGTACGATATATAGGTTTATAATAACGTTATCACTTTCTTTTTCTCTGAATCTGTGCTTCTAATAAGACATACCTGCTTCCATATTTTTATGAGGCAATATATGATTCTCCTTGTGTTTACTATTTGAAAAGTTAATTTGTACTGTTGAATTAGGGTTTGTGGTTTAAGTAGTTGAAAAAAATTTCCTAGCAAATTAAATTTATTCTAAAACTATATAAGGAAGCAAAGGATTGAAAATGTGCTAGGTATGACAATATTATATTTTATTAGTAAAGTTGTTAATTTATTTGCTTTTAATGAATACAATTATTAGGTAGATAGCTAATTTGAAAAAGTGTATTAAAATGCTCAATTAAAAAACAAAAAAGTTAATACATGTATGCCTTACATTTACAGTCAAAAACTGACAAATTGATATCAGATACACATACCTAGTATTAGATAAAAAATATTTTTAGAGCACGTGTTTATTTTAACGTATGAATAAAACTTGTTAATAATTATTTTTTACATGAAAGCACTGTACCTATATATTTTTATCATTTTTTATATAACTGATAACGTTTTATTCTATTGTTTGTGAAATCGTTTCGTTCTGTACTTTATTCTCGAAATTAAAAGAATTACATATATAAATACTTCTATAATTTCTTAATTGCTCCAATAAAATTGCTTGATATATTTTTGAAAATATTAAATGTTGAATAAATTATTGCAGTAATAGTTTACAATATCGGATTCATTAATAAGGAAGTGGGAATCTATAGGTAGATGTAAATGTTAAGAGATGCGAAGATAATCGCATAAAGTTGATAGTATTATATTATTTTCTGTTTTCTTATTGTGTTAAACAGTTTGAATTGAAATTTAATTATGAATATTTTTTTATTAAACTACTATATTATTTATAGGCACGTGATAGGATAAATAATTTTACACATGTTGTAACTAAATTAGGTATGTCGAGTGTTGTAAATAAAAAATTATCAAAAGCAAAAAACAGACATTCAATTAGCTTTTAATCTGTTGAAAAATCGAATTCTAATTAGCAAATTCGGTTAGTGATACAATGTTTAATTTCCAGTATTACGTATTTAGTTTCTTTTTTAACTAAACTAATCTTATGAAAACGAGCCCCCCCTTGTTTGAAGCTCGGGTCCATTACCTTCTTAATGACATTACTGGTCATGGGCCGAAACGGTTGTCTTAATGCTATGTGCCGTTTTCACTGCACAATTTACAAAATAGACTAATAAAGTGAGATTGCAACAAATAAATAGTTGAATATTATTAGTATTTAATAATTTGGATTTATTATATATAGCTGCAATTCATTGCCAAGAATAAAAAGTAATGTTTATTAAAATATTATTTAAAAATAAGTTTATTAACTTGCCCATGTGTGGAATAAAATTTTTTACATGATGCAGATAAAAAAATTAAAAGGTATTTAATATCTATTCTGATTAACTGAAGGAATGTAATTGCATATTAAACTGAATAAGATAAACAAGAATCCTCCTTAGAGCTTGACCACGAATAAGACGATAATTTAATTGAAATTGATATGGATATATGTACTTTGATTTCTTAACTATGAAATAATATACCTACTGAATTGTTGTCNTATGTTTTATAAACAAAAAATTCTAATACTGAATCAGATAATTTCCTGAGCATGGTTTTCTATTTGAGTTTCATATAAATTAATAAGAAATGCACTACTAAATCGGTTTCGTTTACTTACTAAAAATACATTTTTTATAAAATCTGTCAACATGTCCCATTACCCTTTCAAATTTACATAATAAATTCATACATGTACATCTAGTAAAATATAAATGTTGAGAGAGCTTTTTTTTTACTTATGCGAGAAAAAACTAGACCAAAAAATAGTAATTTTCTTCAAGGTTCTTCTTCTTATCAGCTTTTTTTTACATTTTTTAATAACGCTGATATTATTTTAGGCAAAGGCCAGAAACTGTTACTTAGTTGTACGTAGTTTAGACAAGTTTGTTCTCCTGGTAAGGAATTTAGGAGTTTTATTTTAAAGTGGCTTTTAACTTAAGCCTCATTTTAAAATCGACGTAGTAAATAAGAATTGTTTTAAATTTAGTGAACATGCCTCCTTGTAAGCCTTGCAAGCAGAAATCGAAGAAATCAAATAAGAAGCGTGCTAACAAGGACAGTTGTCCAAGAAACTCATGTAATACAAAGAAGGTGAAAACTATGGTAAATGACTAATTGTATGTGTAAATCAAAATAGTAAATTAAATTGGTATAATGTAATGAACTAAGTGTGGATTCAGGGATGGGTTACCGTATTCTTTACTTACTAATTTTTAACAGTCAGTAAAGAACACGGCAATAAAGCCTAAGAGCGGTTAAGTTACGTAATTTTATACTAACTTAAAAACTTTCAGAAAAAGGAAACCAAGAAAAACAAGAACCTTAGAAATAAATGCTCATCTTCTGGAATGAAACCTAGGAAAAGATACTCAACCTCTGAATCGTCCTGTTCTTGTGATGAATGTTATGATTGCTCCTATTCTGATTCGTCGTTTGAGAGCAGCAGTTGCTACACAAGTTCCTCTGATTCATCACCACATTGCAAGAAAAGACAATGCAAATGTGTCTAATAAATTGTATTACATGTTTGAAATTATTTTTTAATTACTTGATATTTTTTTGCGTATTTTTAAAATATTTGTTATAGAAAATCACATTTGTACTATTAATGATTATTAAACATACACTTTTTTAAATTTTATGAGCTTATAAGAAGGTATTTGTGGATCATTTAAAAAAGGTGAAAACATTTTTCAAACTCATGAAAAGTAAAAAATTGCGCCTTTTATTCGACAAATAATTTATTTTTTTGCAATAGAATTGAAAGGATTCTTTTCATTGTTTATCTCTAAATTTTTCAAAGTCAAAACATGCGAATTCAGTTTTTTAGAATATGCTTAATGGAAAATTTATTTAAATTCTCAGTTATGTTAGATTACTTTGGTGTTTTTTTATTTAAGACTATATCCTAATAATATATCTCGAATAAATAATTATGTCAAAAGAATATTCGATTTACCTTCAAATCCTATGAACGAAAAATTTGCACGTGTTTAAAACGCACCATTACTGGAATCCACTATTACACCGTATGAGAGACACATCATTCATTACATTATACATACCTCACTTAACAAATTTTGTGAGAAAATTCCAATACTTCCAAGTATTGTGTGAACGCTACTTGTGTATGTATGTATTACTATTATTATTATTAGTTGTTATACCAGCACAAATTAATTATTAGTGTTACCTGATTCACTGTTGTATATGTAGATGTATGTATAATGTATTGTGATTATTCATTTAATAAATTGTAAGATATTTTACTCTTATACTGATTCGTCTAGAAAGCATGGAAGGTAAAGTAAAAAACTTGTAGATGTTTTATTGGACGCTTTTATTACTTAAATTTTGCATGTAACAAATTTTACGTTTGTGATTTAATACTTACATTTTTTACATATGTATTGAACAAATGAGGTTCATCCAATACATTAGTTACTTACTGATCTGTCAGTTTGAATATTAACCGACTAGAAGCTGAGTACACTAAGTCCAGACACCTTATATTACCATTGCAACATAAGCATCACTGATTCATTAGCAAATTGAATTGAATTGAATTTTAAAAATACTATGTCATTGCTTGTGGTAATAATCACATTATAAAGTGCAGTGGTTTACAATTCCTTCTCAATTTTGATGAGTTCAGCAATACCATCGTACATTTCCTTGACAGCATCGAACTCAGTAAGACCCATACGACGTTTGTTGGAAATGTCGTATATACCACCCTCGGCTTCTGTATGCTCACCACGTGTTCCACGAACTTGTAGATTGAATTTAGATGCCACTTCATCTAACTTGGCTTTATTAGAAGCAAGTTTAGGGACTTTAATATGTACAGAAGCACGTACAGTTGTTCCCAAGTTAGTTGGGCAAAAAGTAAGGAAACCTAAACGGTCGTGGTGAGAAAATGGTAAACGTTTTTCGATGTCATTTACTGCAGTAACCAAACGGCGATACACCTGTCCTAAATCTCCACCCATTTGCATTGAAATAATACGAAGATGGTCTTCTTCATTTACCCAGACCAAGAAAGTTTTGTTATCATTGTGGAATATACCACGTCCAGTGGGCCAGAAACGACAGGCATTGGCAGCTTGTAAGAAACGGTCACCTTCCTTGAACAAGAAGTGATCATCAATCAATTTCTGCTGAACTTCTTTACTCATTCCAGTTAAAGGATAAAAGGTGCCTTTAAGTTCGCCTTCCAGACCAGAAAGTGTGGAGGAAACTTTCTGTTCCATCTCCTTGTACTGTTCCTCGGTTAGACAAGGGTTGAAGGGGTATCCCTCAAGAGAGCGACCACAACGAACACGGGTGGAAACAACGAATTCTCCGGCAGGGTCTAGGTTGCCAAAGACACTAACATCTCCCCAATTCTTGGGAGGATGTTTATCAGTCTTCTTGAAACCACCGTGATAGTCTTCGATAATAGGATCGAATAGATCGGCGAAAACTGTGTAAGCTTCAGCATCGGGAGCGTATATACCAATACCAGAATCATGATTCTCAAGACCTGTAACGAAATTTATAGTTTAAGAATATAATAAGTATAAATGTGATGCATAATTAGCTGTTATAAACTATAAAGATATAGAGCATCAAATTGCATTCGTACACAACGGACAATAAACTAATGAGTGACTTAAACAACAGACTATATAATGAAAATATAATTGGAATAAGCCATACATCAAAAATTATTGGAAAGACTGTAGCTAAACTAGCACCTTTAAAAAAGATAAGAACAAATTTTATTATCATCCTGTCAAAATTATCAACGTCTTCTAATTGAGAATTTAATTTTGTCATATTTATAACGTACAGTATTTTTCTGGACTACCCTTCCCCCTTGTCACGCTTCGCCTCACAAATCTTTACTCCCCCTTCTTCGCTTGTTTAACAGAATTACATGTTATTCTCAACTCAAACGAACAGATTACGATATCATTAAGGTTTGTGTAGCAAAAATTAAATCAATTAGTAATCTTTAATAAATACCCAAAATAATTTCGGAAAATAAAGGCAAACATAAAGCAAGAATATTGAATTTTAAAACACATGTTAAACTCATAATTCTGACAAATTTAGAAAAGTTGAATATAATGAAATATGTATAAATAAAAGAGCGAATGCAACATAATGATCCACTTAAAGTTTAATTACTTTACCAATATTCTCTTAGCTGATAAAAGTTAGATATGACAGAAATCATAATGGATACAGATAAGTGGGTACAATTTAATTAAACAAATTATATTTATTAGAAAAGTCTCTAATTAACTTTTTACAGTACCTGATTGAATCACATCTAAAAGAGTAGAACCAAAAGATGTCTTTTTGGTTTTCAGCTTATCAAACACTTCTCTGGTCAAATATTTCTTGAGAAGTGATTTAGAATCGGATGCTTCGAGCTTCTTGAAGCCGCTTTCCAATTTATCCAAGACTGCAGCGTCAACCATTTCGTTAGATTTCCTGAAAGATTATGAATTCTTTTTAAAATACAATTCATTTTTCCTGATAGCACAAGCATTGTATAGTTATTAATAATTATATTATTGCAGTATTAACGTATTAATTTGTTGTTTCATTTTTAAATTTTAAAACGGTTAATCGTTAAACTATCGGTTCGTTACGAAAAAAAAAAAACACAAGACAATGTAAAAAATTGTCCGATTTTAAAATTACAATGCGTACTTGCACGTGTACTTATTGCTAGCTAGACGTCCTTCATCGAGTGCACTTATCTTTATCATCAACCGATTGTACAACAGAAGTACATCAGATATAGATGTAAATAAAATATGAAATGAGTTAATATGTTGTACTGTTCAAAAACAAATACAATTAGTGCCTTTGGGGCTATCCATAAAATACGTCACTCAGAATTTCATCTTTTTTGGACCCCCCCCCAAACCACATTAAGTCACACTTTCGGGGACTCCCTTACAAATATTACATCACAATAACTCACCCTTATTTGCGAGCCTATTTTATGAACGACCCCTTTCCATTATATAATTATACTTAATAGTAAAATATTAATATGATATTGCAGTAGGTACTATGATGGTATATGACAGTGATAAAAATAAGAAACCCTTACTTAAATAAAATGAAGTATCTATACTTTTATTGACGTATGTACATTTTATTATGCAGACAAGGCATACTTAATATTGTAGATAAAGACAATTAAAGACAGTTTTATTGATTTATCAGGTATTTCAAGGTACGAATTTAATTTTATACTCAATAATCCAATAACAAACAGATAATATATCAACTTCAACAAATTGAGCCAAGCATCATTTGTTTTATTGTTTATTATCCAAATCAAATCAAAAAAGATTAGCACCTACCTATATAAAAAACAATTGGTACCTACTTGTACATTATTCTACATACAAAAAGCTTTAAGAACATATTTTTTTTATACATTTTACAGTTGTAAAAATCTGTAGTCACTTAATTCGCGCGAATTCTCGACTGAAAACTAATAAAAACCGAAAGCCCTTATTGACATTGTTTTGTTTCTGGTTGGAGAAAATAATTTTTATTGAATGTAGAATCACGATTTTATCAATTAATACCTGCCTTTCGCACTTAAAAAATAAAAAATTCCTTAAAATATATTTTATATGAAATGAAATTCTTGGCTGAAAGTTTATGACCTGAAACATTTTCGATTTTGTTGGTAGTCACCGACATAAGTAGTAATTGTTTTAATAACAGATATATTATTTTTATCCTTATTACATTAAAAACATTTTAGTTTGTACCTACTCGTAAAATGCTATATAAATATAAAAATTTCAAAAACATTTTATATGTTCGTGTTGCATTTGTTTAATAAAAAAAATTATTATTGCATTATTTCCACTGAAGAAATTTGATCCTATTTTGTAATAGTTCACACTACTTCCTTACATGCAGTATCTAAACATTGTAATGATTACAAAAAAGATGAGTTTGAATGAAAAAAGTGCAACTACATATAAAGCAAAGGCGAATGTTAAAGAATTATAAAGCATACTTAATATTTTGGTGGAGGCAGAAAAGACAAGACAGATAAAAGAAATTGCAAAGTTCCAATAAGATCTTGGCGCACCCTTTTCCCTATCGACCCATGCAGACATGAACACTGTGATACTGTGTTATTACAAACCCCGTCGTTTCATCCCCTTTCGCATTTTTATCATCCTTAGAAGTACAGCCACCCATTTCAAAAAATATAAATGTTAACTGTTTTAATTAAAACTAAATAAAGTTACACTTAGATGAGAACACTACGATTGATGAGGTAGCTGGTGAGCTTATAGTCATGAGTATTGGGCTCCGCCCTACACTGACAACGCGTTGATAGACGATGTTCGTACTACAGACCGCTCGACGCTTTCTAATTCACGATCAAGCTCCGTCATTGCTTGAATTGAATGTGAAAAATGTTCGCAGATCGATACCGACGCCACGCGCCGGTCATACCGTTTTATCAACAGTTTTACCTTTTGATTCCCCCCCCCTACCCAATAAATGATTTTTATGATTTTTGAGCAAATGGTGACTGCAATCGTTGAAACAATCTTAAGTTTTCGATTTACAAACTTTTTAGTGAAAAATGTTATATCACTTAAAACCTACATAACAATAAGTATAAAAAATATAATTGCTGAAGATTGGTCATGACTTTTTAATTTTGCTTAGTAATTATTACTGTGACGCATATTTTACTGTAATGTGAGAAAGATTTTCACTTTATTAATTTTTGTCAAACAATTGTGAGAGGCGCATTACCTACGGGCGCGGTCTGTACATCAATATTAACTAACTTACGGATTTCCTTCCATACCTCGGAAATCATAATGAGGATATAGGATCTCATAAGCAAAATCTCAAGCTCTATTTATTGGCCTTATAACGCGCTGGGTTATTTAGGAGTTTTAGTTTCTTTTTTCTTTGTAATACAATCAGACCAGGGCATAGATAGTGGGCCTCATCGTGATCACATAAATTAATCCCAAAATACATAACAATTACAGCTTTTAGGTAATACTTGTTATATAACTGGAACTTTGAAAATGTTTACTGTCAGTCTACACCCATATAGACTTCTAACTTAATGTTTTTATTTATTAGATAATATATCAAAATAATAAATAAGTAAGAACTATCTAATAATTAATAAAACCACAAACTAAAAAACTCAGTTTCTCGTTAGGCAGGCGGACCATGTTTCGTAAGTTTTCTCGCCCTCTTGAAATAGTTTGGCAAGTAACTGTACTTCATCTAATACTACAATTTCTTGGATATTAAGAATTGTTTAATAGTTTATAGACAAGCAGCGTAAATTGTAATAATAAAACTATGTGACCAAACAAGACTGAAAAATATTGCGATGTAACATACTTTTCATGATGTTTTTAAAATAATTGATATTGAAAAATTGATAAGACGAATTCATTTATCGAAATACGAAATAAGCAGCAATTTTCACGAATAACTGCACTTAAACATGTATACTTAGTTTTTAGACTTTATATATTGAATTTTTACACCCCTATTCAGGGCTGGATCTACGGGTTTTTTGGGCTGCAGTCCAATATAGAAGACCCCTGGCTCCCGATAAAGACAAATTATCTATTGTGAATTTAGAAAATAAAAAAATAATCTCAATGCTTTATAATTTATATAACAGAAGTGCAATTACCCCATTTTTTTCTATCAGTAAAGAAAATAGTTGTTTTGACAAAATGGTAATTAGTTTGATTAATTAAATAAGCCCCCAAGTACCCCAGGCCCATCTATATCCACGGTCCTCCCCTGTCCCCATACCTTCTCTCTCCCCTTCTGTTTTTATCAAAATTCAATACTCGGGCTAGATCTATTCCGCCACCCCTGATTACAGTATTTTAAAAGTTGATAAAAGAAACGACAAAAAATGGACAGTTTTGTTTNTATCCCCATCAGAAAATTGATTAGTACATGTCACGAAAACTTATCTGATACGAGGTTGTTTATCAGACCATAAGTAGGTAGGTACCTTTACTCCAATAAGCCTAGCAACAAATATAAAATCCAAAAGGTACATATAAGTATGCTGTTAGTGATTATTACCCTCTCTCCCCTTCTGTTTTTATCAAAATTCAATACTCGGGCTAGATCTATTCCGCCACCCCTGATTACAGTATTTTAAAAGTTGATAAAAGAAACGACAAAAAATGGACAGTTTTGTTTTACCAAAAAAAAAACTCATGAAGGATAATTTCGCTCATTAGTACAGGCTTTCGCGGTCAGTAGGTGAACTGATGATGTCCTGATTAGGGTCTAAAAACGGTCGTTGGTTGGATTACTTCCTTCACAGGTCCTTTCATCTCCGATGCTGGATGTTTACTCTCTGAAGAAGCTCGCCGCTCATACTAGCGAAACGTTAGGAAGCAACTCCAACCGACGACAGTTTTTAGACCCGAATGAGGACAGCATCAATTTCGTTCATTTTATCTAACCAACTAGCAATGCTTTTTAGTCCAACATTCAAATTATTCTAAAGACAGCATTCATAGTAAAGTTAGATGGACCATAAGCAAAAAAATGATTACAGCTACCAAAACCATTGACAAATAGGTATAATTAACCATGTTAATTTTATGTTCAATCTAATATAAATGATGATCTTTTATCTAGGAAGTCAGTCTAGCAAATCTGGTAACCCTATGTATGATAACCTAATGAAATTGAATTTTGATTCTTTATGTTTGACGAAATAAGGTAAGCACTAAAAAATAATACTAAGAAATAAAAATAATAAATACAGTAAATCAAAATGGTAAGTGCTTAAAATATGAATATTTTTGTGTCATTAACTAAGGGCCATTCTCTCCCCCAACAAAACTGTCAGCAGTCGTAAACTGTAGATTGTCACAATAACAAAGCTTTTATTGTATAGGTAGCTGAATTTTTTTAAAGAAGAGAAAATATGAACTGTTATGTAGGCAATCTATTAATGTGTATGAAACATTATTCCATTATCTCTTAGGTAAACTTAAACCAATAAAACTGGAGAATTATGCACAGCGAATATTTCACCTGCTGTAACTACATATTGTACGTGTAATTATTAAAGATTGTCTACTAGCGAAGCCCGATTAAATATGGGCGGTTGGTACAGTTATCGATGGTGCAATTTTTACGTTTGCAATTAATATATTATCTATACGTTAATTGCCAAGCATCAAAAATTTAATAGTTATGTCATTAGAATGTATATACATATGTATGCAACCAACTATACACCATAATATAGACATTTAAATCCGCCCACTTTTTTCCAAATATTTTGTTCCAACTTGAGTACGTCAAAATTAACGATTTTTAATTAAAAATTCCAATAACGATAACACTGGATATCGATACAATGAAAGCGACCAGTTATCAATTTTTTAAATGTGTGGGTTATCCTGATAATTTATACTCACTTTAATAATAAAAACAGTTAGGTATATAGATGTGTCAGGTGAGTCTGGGGGGGCCACTATTGCACCCACTGCCCCCCCCAGATCCGCGCAAGAAACGGTAAAAAAATTTTATGTACAAATAGATAATTTATAGGTTTTATTAATTTTAAGTGGGGTTTCATTTAGCTGTTAATAGTTTTGCAGCAAAAAGAAGTAATGTATTTGTACTTTTACACAGAAAATCGTTAATATTTTGGCACACGGTTTAGTAAGCATGTGCACAGTTCAATCTGTATTGATTGTAAACTAGGTACATAGTTGCTGTAGTTACAAAATATTTATCTGGCTAGGATAAAATAATGATAGAATATTAAATAGCATTAACATAGTTACAGGAACATATAGCCCATTTTTAAATAAAAATTTCTATTAAGAGTTTACTCTAATTTAGGTCACATAGGTGCGTTGGGTTACATAAGTGGCTATCAAGCTTACAATTGTGAAAATCTACTATAATAAAGTACCTACTTGAATTAGGGAAGCAGTACCTGTCAGAAAACAATATAATTATTATAATTTGCTTTTAGGTACTTTATTTACATCAATGTTTATTCTAAATGAAACTCNGTTAAACAGTGAGGGGGATGTATACCTTTAGTTTTACTATCAATTAATTTGTATGGTAAACGAGTAGTTAATAATTATGGTTATATCAAGTTATATTGAAAAGCATATTAATTAATACATTTTTTAACTAATTTCTAAAGACATAGACGTTTAAATATCAGTTAGTATTTTAAAAATAATTTAATAAATATTGTCAAAATAATTCACTTAAGCATTTAAACCAATAAATTGCGAGTGCCTAGTCAATTTTATGAAGTACCATGATGCAGTACATTCATTCGTATATGTATTTGTTTAACTGCAAACATGAGTCATAAGCGAGAAAGCTCTATTAAATAATGAGTCTTAAGTGATAAATCAACAATCATGTAAATTGTAATGAACATTTTACGAATGTATTTTCTTTTTCTTTAAGCTAAAAATTTATATGCTACATTATGCTAAAAACAAGATACTAATCGCCTACCAGTAGTTAATTTTATGGTGCATAAAGTTTTCATTAAACACCGGCAATACCGACTAATTTGCGAAAAATGTTGCAGAAATACAAATGTAACACGTGACTCTTTAAACTAAACTATTATGCAATTTCCTGTTTGTGTAGATTTGTACAAAGTAGATGTCCGATCAATTTCAAAACAAAAAATTTACAGGTAATCGAGTTCTACTTCCTAAACTTTCAAATTAAAGTGTTTTACGTTTATACAGGTTGTATTATACAGTACTAATCTTGAGAAGTCATTAAAATACAAGGCCAAATCGGCTAGATTCTGTTATTTGGTAAAATTCTATAAAGCATAAGCAATCAGGGCTATTTAAAATGGCCAAGGGTTTCTTGTTTGTAAAAAATTTTTCGCAACTTGCAAAATACAAAACAGCTTAAATTTCCAACAAAAAGACACCAAAATGTTAAAATCACCGGTATTTCCAAAAAACACCCAAATGAAAAAATTATCGCTACAGTGGATGTTAAAGTTGAAATGTAAATAATATTTATAAATGTGTGCAAAGGTAACAATCGTAATAAAATTGTGCTCACCTTCAGACTTACAGATGCAGCACACTCGTTTGTTGGCAACTGATTAACGTTGAAGTAGCGTAGTAACGGCAGAGACTAGGCAGAGCCCCCTGATTTTGAGCCCCACTACCCACCCCACTGACGTCAGAAGACACAGAATTAGCGCCAATTGGTAGCTGGTGAGTATGTCGGATTTGTATAACCTTTGCACGACCTACCTCGTTTAAGTAGAATATAATAAAAATGTTGCTTTTCAATCCTGTATCTCAGAAGTAACTTTTTTGAAGTTTTTCTCATACAGATGATTCGATTCCATTGTTATGCAACATTAGGAGATTTTGAATTTCCGGCCTTCTATTTATAAGATTTGAATATTAGCTTGTAGTAACAGAAGTCCTAGACTAATGCCAATGTGAACACCACTCCTTATAATTTATAGTTTATATTAGGTACAATATGCAGGTAATTTGTATTAATCATTTCATAAATAGCAAAATTATTTTTATAAATAAAAACAAACATCTGTATTATAAACGTAATTGGTGTTAATGCTTGTTTATATCCCCATCAGAAAATTGATTAGTACATGTCACGAAAACTTATCTGATACGAGGTTGTTTATCAGACCATAAGTAGGTAGGTACCTTTACTCCAATAAGCCTAGCAACAAATATAAAATCCAAAAGGTACATATAAGTATGCTGTTAGTGATTATTACCTAGTAGGTTTCACAGGGACGTACTAATGTTAGCTTCATAAGATCGGGGCGGGGGGGAAAGGGTGAGTTTTTTATTAAAAATTCCGATTTAATCAGAAAAATTTGCCGACTGTTTCTGATCATTTGCAATAAAAAATGCATTCGGCACCAAAATATGGAAGGAGGGGTGTTACATCCCTTACAACTTTACTTCGGTACACCCCTGTTGTTTTCATAATGTAATCACAGTTGCTGATAACTGAATACTTAATCACTGAAAAAGTTATGATAATACAATTTTTATGAAACGTATACCTTTTGAACGAATTAAAGCAGACATTTGGTTCTTATATCTATTTTTATTTTAAAACTAACTAAATAATTAGATAGGTAGTAATTGTCCTGTCTGTTTTGTTAAAAATACTTAATGCTTCCAGTAAATCAGCTACAAGCATTTTGATTATATATTTTTATTATATTTGCACAACCTACGAGTGCAAGCTGTACCTAATATGCTATATAAGCTATAACATTTCACTGATTTCAATAAAACTCTGATAACGCGGAATCGTGATAGCAGAAAAATGGTTTAACGAGAAGTCAATTAATTTATACGAAACAATTTTTGTAACGTACAATAACGATCAATAACGTAGGTACGTATTTAAAAAGTTAAAAATTGTTCATAGACAATCAAATTAAGGCCTGACCTAGACTAATACTCGAACAACGCTATGGGGTCGATAATTGAGGTAGGAAAAGACAACAGGAAGAAAGTGAGACAAAATTCAATTTTTCACATCCATCCTCTGCGCCTCTGACCCACCTTAAACTACTTCTTTTTTGGTGATACACCACGTCATATCTACACCCTCTCCACCAGCATTCCCCTCTCCAACCAATTTTAGTCAATCACTGTTTTCAATTTTTAGCTCCAACCCCTGCGTCTCCACGTGACCGCTCCAACCCCACCTAAAAACAGTTGTTTGGGGTTCTGCAAGGTCACCCTCATCCTACCCACCCCTTCCCAGCTTCTAGCGTGGGTCCCGTATTGTAAACAATTACAATATTGCAAAAATTATTCCTTCCAAAGAATGTAACATATTACTTCCTAATCCCTCACATACATGCCTGTCGTACCCTTCCCACCTATAAATTTAGTTTTATTCAATGAAAAAATTAAATAAAAATCCTAAGCATAAATCGCATACAAAAAAACATCGAAAATAATGCTGCGCGCGAAAGACTATCAACGGGACGTCTTTTCTTGACAAACAATTGGACTTGGCTTGGCTCCAACTCGAAAAAAAATTAATTATTTTGTATTCACTAACGTTATAAAGCAACTATTTTTAGTCTTTTAGTAGGTACAGTGCGCTCCAGTGCTTTTCCTTTGAAGTCGGTTTTCATTTTTTATATTATTATAGGGGTCAACTTAAACCCTCATATACCTTTTTAGGGAGTAATTGAGACGCTCAATTGAGCTATATTTATTATTATCGTCGCTCTTCAGTGACAGATATCAGCGTGAAGACCGTCTTCAATTACTTTCTGGATAGTACCGAAATTTATTTCTCTAAATAAATGTAAATAACTAAAATAGATAAATGGATACTTTACGAACTGACACATTTTTCCCAAAATATTGAGAGACATCGGCCACGCTTTGGACATACAAACGGTTGTTAGTTGTTATAAAAATCCAATTTTAATAGAAAATAATCAGAATATTAAAAATTGAAAAACAAATTTCAAAACACATTATTAGGTACTTCAACACAATCCTTTTTATAAATATTTATATTACAAGTGTTTGTATTATATATTAGTATCGTTTTGATCATGCTGTTAGTCTTTCATATGTCATTTATTTGCACTGCAATCAAATGGTGCTAAAAATTGAAACACTAAATCCAAAAGCAACACAGTACCTTTGATTATGTGGAGAATTTTTTTCTATGCTAATAAAATCTTTGACAGAATTTCGTGGATCGTTCGTTATAGTATCTTGAAGAAGTTTTTTAGTTTTAAGTGCGGAAGAATCAATTACTGAATGTTCATTTATATCATCATCGTAGTCCTCTTCTTCTTCTTCATCGTCTTCCTCTTCTTCTTCTTCTTCACTACTTCCTTCGTCGCTCTCTTCTTCAGATGGCATGTCTATAGCTTCACTTCTAATTGGGTGTGGAGAGGGGGATCTTGCAGGTTTTCTTATTGGAGCGGGTTGGGGTATGTGTGTGTGACTAGGACGTTGTAATCCAATCGGGGATTTATTTAGAGGAGGTGGTGGTGGTGGTGGAGGCAATGAAGTAGGAACTTTCAAAGGAGAAGATTTTGGAGTTTGAGGACTGGTATTTTTTACAATATTCGACGAATTTCCACTAGATTCTTTACCGTCCCTTTTGCAAGTTAAACATCTTTGATTCTTCGCTCTTAAAAAGAAAAGAACAGAAAACATACTCTAAAAAATAAAAATAATGTTTACTTATTAAAAAAAAAAATTTTAAACTAATTTTGCGTCAATTCCCTTGTCGTTTCATTTTAATGCAGTCACCCTACAATCGACTATCTGTAAGACAGTTTATACATTAAATAGATCAATTTGTAAAAAATAGATAGAATATAATTTACACGCGAAAATAAGGTAATTTTTACAAGTATTCTGCAGTTGTAACTGTAAGCACAAGGTGTGTGTTGCTTAAAAAAAACTGTAATTATTGTGTGAATAAAATTAATAATGCGACAAAATGATAGCGGTACTTTCAAACGGATATTAGACTACATTAACCAGGAAGTCTCATTATGTACGGTATTGGAATCAATTTCATTTTTATATCCAATGAACAAATTCTCAATAAATCTGTATAAAAAGAAAAAAAATAATAAAAAACGAACAATAATCCTACAAATAAATAGACCGGGTGGATCCTAGGAAACACAATTAAAATAAACTTTAAAAGCATATAAATCTTATGTGTTGTTGAAGAAATATAGTTTGGCAACAGATGTTGGCAGCTCGCAATGTTTTTAGTTACGTAATATTGAACATTTTGTATAAATTTTGGCTGTTAAACTTGCTTTTTCTTTAAAGCAGTTCATTTAAGTTTTTCTATTTTTACAGGATGTTGTTTTTCATAAGCGTCACTTAGGTATTTGCGAAAGCCTAATATTATGTTACTAATAATTATTAGATTCTTAATAAACTGATACAAGATTTCGTAAATTAAAAAGTATTATAGTAAGAATTTGTCCAATAATGAAGAGGTATTAGAAAGAATATGTGAACGGTGGACTCTATAGGCGATAGGTTGGTAGAACACCTTCTCTGGCTGAAAGGCTGGTCAGAGATATACTAGAGGCAGAACCAGGAGTTAAAAGGAGTAAAGGTAGACCTAGATTAGATTACTGTTCGCAAATAGTTAAAGATGTGGGTTGTTTTAGTTTTAGGGAAATGCGAATATTAGCTTGGGATAGGAAAGAGTGAAGGTACGTGTCCAATCAGTCTTAGGACTGATGGCCTTATAGTGATGAAGAATTATCTGATAATTAACGAATTAATACAAGCAACGTATTTTATCAGAACAAATGTAAAGGGGGTAGGAACCTTCAGTAGGTCGATTATTAAAATAAATTGCAGAACTTTGTATACAAAGACAAGATACGTAAAATTTAAACTAAATATCCATACCGAAAGCCGATAAATAATGTGTAAATTAATGTTGTCACCTAAACTAATCATCATATTAACTTAACATTTAAATAAACATAAAAATTGATGTCTTTTTCAAAACTATTTTTAATAAAAACTATAAGGTACACCGGTTCGTGTTATTAGGCAGTTGTCACACACATGTATTAGGCCCGCAGAATTTATGCATTATTTAGTATTTTCATTCATTCATTTGTTTGTACCTAATGCTTAATTCAAATTGAATATTCTGGTTTCTGAATGAAAGGCAATTTGATGTAATTTTGTATATATGTACTTTTCTTACTGGATTATACATACAGATAATTTGAAGTAATTTATTGTCATGCCTTTATTAATTGAAGCGTACATGACATAATTCACGTTTAGATATTGTCAAGAACATTTATCGCATAATCTTTGATTGTGTTTCTACGTTCATTGTCTGATTCTTTTGTTATGTAACAAGCTAACAACAAAATTTTCGAAAAGCTCTTACGTCTTATCGTTTAAAAGAGAGAAGGGGTTTGCGATTTTCTTATTTCAATTTATCGTAGGGAAGGGAGAGAATCTAAAATCGTTGAAAGTTGCATACGTAATACTTGAACGCCCCCCTCCACATTATATATTTATATCTACAATTTAATTGCGGCTAAACTATCTATATGTATAATACCTAATATATAATAAAACTATAAACTAACTGACTGATACCTACATCAACGCACAGCCCAAACCCTTGGGTCTAGACTTGAAATTTTGCGCAAAATATATACACACATTTTATGAAGAATAAATTTACAGTTAGACAATATTTAGGTCCAGATTGGAGCATAATTAAAGAATGCTGTTTCTATAATTTTTTTTAACCACTCTCGAAGGAAAATTCTGCGTACGCCCCTGTAGTTGAATATTCACGTATTAGTACCGCCACTGCCTTCCACTGAGAAAGGTTTATAAGAAACTAGTATTTATACTTAAATTACGAAGATACTAATATGATTTTCCATTCAGGTGATATGACTCGAGTAAAAATAGGCAAACATTTTTCATCATTGACGAAGCTAGAAAAATTTTATAGGGGAGAGACTAGGGGGGAAAGGGCAGACGTCCAGCTGGTCTGCAACTTTCAGTTTCTGTATGATTCGATTAGAGATCGACTAACTGATTACTTAAATTACCATAGAAACAATCTCTAAATTTTTTACTGTGTTGTTCTAATAGTTCATTGCACCAAATTTTGGATTATACCTCTGCAAAATATGGCACAATATAAAAATGTGCAAGCGGTAGCTTTCAAAAATGATTTACAAATGATATCGTTATCATGAAACATGTTTATTTTGCAACTAGAGCAATACTTCAAAAGTAATTTTTCCAGATTAAATAAGAGAATATTGAGAATTGGTAATAGTAAACAGCCTTCTTGGTTCATTTTTTATTACAACACACTACTAGTTGCTTGTAGTTATATTTAATTTTCCTTCAAAATCTACAATTTGTTTATTAACTTACTTTTCAATAAAAAAAGAAACACACTTTATTTGTCCACTTCGCAAACTGTTTTTGAAGTTACAAAATTATTTACCTGATATAAATTTCAGTTAATATTAATAAAATTTACATAATCTTCTATGTAAGCCAATGACTTTTGAAATGTAGCGATATGCGATACCTCAGGTGATACCAAATAAGTAAAAAAAAATAATAAATAAATCAAACAAAATGTAATCAGTTGATGTATGTAAAATAGTGCATATAATATAATTTAAATGCAAATTTCTTGAGATAGTTGTAGGAGAGAGGTACAATCGAGCAAATATAAATATCCTCTATTCTAGGCCCTGTGAATTATATTTCGGGAAAGATGTTAGCTCTGCCGAAAAATAGAGTAGGAGAAACCTGCAGATTTTCAATATCACATCTGTTCAGGCAACTCGACTATGTATTCCCAAAAAATAAGTTGTGCATTGTTATTTTAAGAACAGACTCGACTAACAGAAAGTTTAACTACCTACCAGTTTAAGAGTATTTATAAATGTTATTGTGATTATCATAAAACTTTTAAGATATATTGAAAAACAAACCTTTAACACACTACTAAAGGTATACAGTAACACTAAACTAACGGTGCATTATTTATAGCTCAATACAGCAATAAATCCAAAATGAACTAACTTCGGATAGTTAAGTCTGTTAAGGGTTCCACATAAAATTATGTACGAATGTGACATACTAGAAAAATGGGGAATCCCCATTACATTCCCCATTATCTTTAATTTACTTTCTAAATGCTCTAAACTAAAAATCCAGAAACTTCATTAATCTGTACATCAATATGTTTTATTTTTTTCTTTCTTTTTGGCTATTAGGATCTCACCCAAAATCAACCATGGAAACCAGTAGGTACAGTACCCCGGACTATCGTGATCTTATAATACTGTTTTTAGGAGGGAATTGTGAGAAATACCATCACAGGGTTAAAAGGTCATTTTTCATTGAGGGTAACCTCAGTGGACAATGGTACCATTGCAAACAGGGGTTAGTCTCCGCACTTATCAGTGCTAAAGACACCGAAGTCATACAGAAATCTGCTTTCTCTGATGGCGTCTAGACGAGACACCTCCACACTTTGCAAGAGACGGATTATACCGAATCACTAGACCATTGCTTAGCATTCGGGAGGACGCCGGTTCGATTCCGGGTCCGTCTGACTTGGTCCAAGTTTTTCTGTGGTTTCCTTGGATCACTTAGGCAAATGCTGAGGCGTCTCATCTTTCTCACCCGAACCACCACCCACCCATTCCCACGATTCCTGAAAGCAGGCTGAAGAGGGCCTTCCGCCCTACCTTCCGGCATAGTCCGGAGGGACTGCCCGCCCACCAGCATTATTAGCTGGTGGGAATGAAACACCCAAAAGTTTTTTTTTTTGAATCACTGCGAAAGATCGATGGGATCAAATCGAATGGGCAGTACGATCGCCACATTGAAGCGCTTTATTACACTTTTTTAACGAACATATCCGAAATCCCGGACCTACAAACCTTAAAATCTATCGTTAGATAACTTAAGGCACCCCTACATCCAAATTATTATTACGCCAGAAGTTTTAGCAAACATTTAGCGTTCTTTTGTGAACGGTAATTCCTTTCAACAAAAGCTGCGATAAACATCCAAAATACAAACTTTTTCATAAATTATACCATTTTTAATTTTTTTTGTTTTGATTAGTGTAACTCATTTTCCACTATTAAAACTTGGTTCAAAAATAAATCGACGCAATCAGTAGGAATTATCTACAAAGGGCAGAGTCAATTTTTAATAAAATTGGAAAAGTAGTGTTTAGTTAGTATTTATAGCGTAGGTTCGGTAAACAAAAGTTTTTATAAAGGAAGTATTCTCAAAGTTTTTTGCGTTCAAATAATTTCGAGTCTGCGAAGAATTTCTGTTCGAGCTTCGAGTTTCGCCTCTCACCAACCAAGTTCATTACACGACAACAGTTCGAAGCCACTTGCTTCATATTGACCTTGACCAGGATCCTCGGAGAAGAAGACCGTCAAGAAGACGTCTCACCCCGCTGTTCTTTTGCAAGGACCTTGGTGCATGTTATTACGAATCATCTTTACCATCGTTACATTGGTGAACCATTCGACGTAGACGATTGTAGGATACATACCTACCATTATTATTTTTTTGCAAGTTAAATCCAAATTTTGATTATTACAAATATGGATTATACCATTACACCGATTTGTTGAGACTGTGGAATAAGTTTTCCTTTTGAAGTGTAACACCCCTCAAAAACTTTAAATTGCATTTATTGGACTTACATTACATATTTCATAAACAAAAAACTAACACGAACGAGACCAAGTTCTTTGATGAAACGAGTACAAAACGTTCTATAGAATAGATCTTATACATTTTTGCTTCAAGACAGCAGAATTATTTAAACAAATTAATACAAATGTGGCTATTCCGAAAAAACAATCCCACTCATTGATTCTACGTAAAAAATCCCTGAAACACCTTTTGTCGGATTTCATTAACAATAATTCAATTTGAGTTACTTATTTTTTTCAAATTTTATTTCACTTTTGCGTAGTCAGTAACAAACATGCGAGATGGGTTGGTAGGACACCTTCTCAGGCATGAAGGACTCGTCAGAGACATATTACAAGCAGAAACAGGAGTTAAGAGGAGTAAAGATAGACCTAAATTAGATTACTGTTTACAGCTCAGAATAGGAAAGAGTGGAGGCGCGTGTCCAACCAGTCTTAGGACTGACGACCTTATGAAGATGATGATTTGCGTATACAGTATCACACATTATAGCATGTATGAAACATACTGTTTTTGTATTAGAATTAAATGCTGTACCTGCTAAAAAAACGCGAATTCTCTTAGAAAATTAGAATATTCGATTTATCAAATTGTCATTCAATTCTCAAGAAAATATTCGAAAATTTTGAATACTTCCTCGCCAATTAATAGTGAATAGTTTCAAGAGTACGAAATCATAAAATGCATATAAAGTTGTTTCAACCATATTATTTCAATGGTAATAAGCAGTATATAGGTATAAGTACATATGCTTACAAAGAAGGGTACAACTATTGTAATTTTTTACTGTTAATAAGTTAATATGCGTAAGGGGGAAATACAATAATATGAAGTATCAACATTTCTTTTTTACACTTATACTTGATACTTTAGCGTTTGCAAAAAGAATGTTTCCTGTAATGAAATTAAAATATTGAGTAAATATATGTGTAGTTCTCTTTGTGCTATGAGGTGTATAATATTTAATTTTTTCTTTTACTTTATTCGACTTTTTCCTTTATGAATTTTTTTTGTAAAACATTTACTGATTGTTATGAATGTGGTTTTATTGATATATAGATACAACTATCCTTTTACCATAATATGGTGTAGGGCTTTATAATAACTGTTACAACCCTTAAACATAATATTTACAAAGTATATAAGTATATAATAGTTTAGAAGTCAGTAGAATACATTAAATTGTTTTATATGTATTTTCAGCAAAATTAGATGCCAAGATTGCACACGCTTTGTTACAACAAAATAATAAAGCAGTTTTATTATAATATTATTTCAATAAAAATAAAATCGTTTAACTTTGAAGTTTAAACCTACATTTTCATTTATTAGGGTATTTGTATTAGTAGTTAAGTTTAAAATTCAGATGATTAAAATAAATGAGTTAATATCACATATAACTTGTATGTATATGGTTAAACAGTGAGGGGGATGTATACCTTTAGTTTTACTATCAATTAATTTGTATGGTAAACGAGTAGTTAATAATTATGGTTATATCAAGTTATATTGAAAAGCATATTAATTAATACATTTTTTAACTAATTTCTAAAGACATAGACGTTTAAATATCAGTTAGTATTTTAAAAATAATTTAATAAATATTGATGAAATAAATATCTAAGCTAGCATGAAAAAATAAGAATACAGGCATAAATATGTAACATAAAACTAATCCGCCATCTACATTATCTGGAACGAATTATATTTTGTTTCATTATTGTATAGCTGAAAATAAATTTGGCACACCGCCAATATTGAATACTTGCGGCGCTTTTTTGCGTATGTTTACCGTTAAGGTATTACCATCATTTACAAATAACCTACAATGAAATCATCCTAAAAATTGTACTCACTTGTATTCCTTATAACCCAGGATGGTGTACCAGAGCGTAAACATTTTTCGAGAAGTTGGCAATGAGGGACGTAGACGAAAAGTATTAGCTATTTGAATCACAGCTTAATCACACACGCCGTACGAACTGATAAAATTCGATTATAATTTACGGGAATTTCTTTCTACATGAAAATGAAAACAACATTAACTTATCTAGGTATATATACAACAGTCGCGAACCGTCATATCTAACAAATCAATAGCTAATCGTAAAACCACTTCTGACGGGAAAAGGCAATATTCATCACAATATCTTTTTTTAACCACTTCATTTATTCTATTTTTAAATATTAAATTTAAATACACTTCTCCGAAAAACTAATTTTCTATTTTACTAACTCACAAAACTACTGCTTTTTCCAAAAGAAATAAAACTAATATTTAAATACACACTTTTGCAAAAGACATACCTAGCCAAGAAAACATTTTCCTGACAAACACGCACAAGTAGTTTAATTTAACTCACAGTAACCTGTTTTAGATTTTAAGAAACAAATGTGTCATTAACTATCAATTCAAACTTACCCTTGTCTTCTATATACACGATCGTTTCACAACGATGTGTAGCAGAAACCTGCCGAGTTGATCATACACTGGAATGATGTGGATAACTTCTCAATACAACAATGTATGGTAAGTTGCATACGTATCGGATATTCAAAATCTATTTTTTTAACGATTAGCGACTGAAATTGATCTTACGGTTAGGCACATGTACAAAAAAAACCCTTATTTAGAAAATTAAGAAACTTACGAACTAAAATAATATTTTGGAATTAATTAGCTGTAACAATTTTAGTATTTATAATTTACAGGATGCAAATAACGCTTTATTGGATAAGGATCGCCATACGTAATAGTAAGAATTTCACTTTAAACATAGATTATTATGTATAAAAAAAAGACAATGTAAAAAACATTTTTAGTTACTTTATTATTAGAAAAAATTATACATACTGTTTGTCATCATTATGGAACGTTTTTAAACATTGGATAACAAAACAATTTTAAAACAACATTTTAAAGTAATACTGCTAAATACATTTGTTAGATGAAATAACTACTACAAAACTGTTCATGTAAATATCGAAACAACAAAAAAAGTTTTTTAACTTTTTTTCCGATTCACTAAATCAAATTATAAATCGTAAATATTAACTTTAGTGCATAGTTTAGTACGTTGAAAATTGGAAAATTATCCGCATTAATTAAGCAATACTGGCATATACAATATAGAGCTTAAGTTCACTTATTGCTAAAATAAATGAAGAATATAAAAAGGTTAACAAAGAACTTACCAATTACAAACTTCACTTTAGTACATAAAAATTGGTTTGATTTCATTAATAATATTGCATATGTTAGTGAAAATAGTTTACAAGCTTTGTAATATAACTTAAAATAAAATTAAATTAAAAGATACAGTACAAGTATTCATGCAAGGAAGCAATCAACTTATAAGATAATTTACAATCTAACAAAAATATAATAACCAAGCAATAAATAATAAAATTACAAAATCACAGTCAAAAAACATAAAAGGTTTTTATTGCAATAACATATTCTGAGAAACTTTCTAAGATATTGCTAAAAATGATTATTTAATTTACATTACATTTGTTTTCTGCTCGAAATAAAATTAAAATATAAAGTAAACTGCCACTACAATAATCATATTTTAATGATATTATAACATTTCCGCTTTTGCATGCTTTCCCTATTCAAAATGCTTCCATTATATATTTGTACTTTTAAAAAACGCTATTATATTAGTTAACTTTCACAATTAGTTAACAATAATAACTAGTGCATCTTTACAAATGATTGGAGAATGCAAGATTATGTTTCACTTTAATATTCCATACAACCTATCTTTATCACATGTAATTTCAAATATTTTTGCTATTTGCACCTCTAAAGTATAAATAGTATTTACAAATTAACATACTACAACTACTTACATTGTAATATTTTCGTGAAGAGGTAACTTTTAATGACACTCAAAATTTTTCCAATTATTGTGATATGCACTTAATAGAATTTAAAAAATTTACTACAGTTTAGTATGCTTGACAGTATCTGTCCATAAGTTTTGAATTGTCATTGCTTCCAAACTATTTAAAAATGAATCATTATCTAAGCTATACATTTCTTCAGAATTTTCCTATAAAAATAAATTGACATTATTTATTATTAATTAAAAATACAATATACCTACCCTCATTGTACTGTCATCAATGTATCCACTAGAATCAGGATTGCTGCATCGATCATTAAGTACTTGTGGTCTATTAAAGCCTAAATTTCGATAAGCAACAAATGCAACGACAGTAATTATCAACATAAAACTAAGACAACCTAAAGAAATACCTGTTATACCTGCAGCAGACAGAGAACTGACGGAAGTTTCATTCTGCTTATTTATTCTTGAATAATTGCTGTTTACAACAAGAGATTGCCTAAAGTTGTAATTCTCAATACTACTAGAATTTTTTGTTTCATTACAAATACTACAACTAATATTTACAACTGTTGTATTGGTGCCAAATATATTTTCATTAGTATTATTAGAGCTCTTATCTATCACATTAGTTTCATTTTTTGGAAGAGCTGCTGCAGATACTTTATGTAGACCAAAATGCAATAATTCTGTCTTGTTTGTTTTATCTGTTTGATTACTAAGGAAATTTGATGAAGGCAGATTGGTGTTGACATCAGGAAGATTATTAACTGAAGCCAAAAGTTCGCTGTAATTTTGGTCCAGCTTCATGTTTAAATGAGTTGCTGTTGTACTTTTTAGATGCAAAGAAAAATATGCACAGAGAAATAAAAACCATCTTATACATACTGAAAGAAAAGTTAATAAGTAATCTTACTTTCTAATGTTACAAGACTTACATGTAAATGTTATCCAAAACCAATGTATCCAACAATATAAAGTCATAATACCATGTAATTACCTGTATTCACTGATTCTAGAGAATGGCTATTTTACCATGCTACGGATAAATGAAAATGTAAATATAACCTTTACAGTACAACTAATACGAACCATTTTGGACGTAATAACCTTAAAATTCAATATATGGAAAAATCATTAATTCCACTGTTTAAATTTATAAAAATTACAATGCGAAATAGTTATAAATTAATAAAACACAAATCCTGTGTCCTGATGTCAAAAATAAGAGCGGAGAACAGGGAGAGCATCCGGACGATCTTTGTCTTTCAACTTTGTTTGGAATTTTGGAACGTTTGGAACTTAACGCAAACCACAGGAAAGCGTTGTTATTATTAATTACTAGCCATAGCCGATAGGTCTAGCCCCTAATTATTGTTGCTAATAATTATTACCACATTATTAGTTTAGTGTGATGGTAATAGTGGGAGTCGCGCGTGCCAATCAGGTAGTCATAGCAGATAGGTAGAAAGCTCTGTTGCCAACCATCATGTTTGCAACAATGTTGCTAACAGTTGCCAATCATCTCCTTCGTAACGCAGTTATGGTATATTTTCAAATACTTTACTACACCTTCATAAGCAGCGAGCGTAACCTGTTCAGTTCCTTGTTACTAGAGGATATTTATATCCTATAATAGTATGCACATGGTATGCATGTTCCATAGATAATAGGCATGGTTCCTGTTTACGGTTCCTTTTTTAATACATTTTCGTACATGATGGGGGGGGGCCTGTTTCAGGATAATAGAAAATATAAGTTTCTGTGCGTAATTTGAAATACGATGTTTCAACAGCGTCCCCTATAAAGGTTGGACTTTGTTCGAGTCTTATATTACAATACAATGTTAATACATCATCTAATTGTAACCTTGGTTCCCGTCTGCCTACCCTTTTTATTTTCTTATATGTATAATAAGTAAAACCAATTCTGGGTTTTGACAACATAGTTGGCGGGCTAGCGCGTAAATCTCTTACTGTTAGGCTAAAGTAGAGACCTTCAGGGATTAAACACGAATTCTTAACACGATATTAATTAAATAGTAAACAATATTTCACTAAAAAGCCGCGGACGGCGAAATTAACCAGTATGCAGACAACAAATGTGAATAGATTGCGAGCGTAGCATTATTGTGCACTGATTTTAAATCAAAATTCTGCGCATTACAGGTGCAATTCTTCCCCGGTTTTCCGGTACCTCATCCACCCGGTAGCCTGGTGCTTAATTAATCAATGCGACAGGATCTTAACTGCACCTAAATTGTAAAAGGATAGTAAAAAATCAAGCAACATTTTTGCAGATAATCAAAATGTGAATTTTGATTACATAAAATAAAGGCTTAAAAAAGTAAAGTATTTCAAAGTTTCTCTTTTCTATGTACCTTTACTTACACTTATTTATTGGTTTGGTTCGGAATTTGAAATCTGTTGATTGCAATAGACTGATTACGTTTACAAATGATAACTATTATTTTGCATTATGTTAATCTCATTTCATCGGCCGAAAAAGACTGAAATAAATGATCTTATAACGATCTGCGGAGGTTTAAGTTGGGTGGGTCCTCTTCGGAGGGAATCGAAGCTATCTAACACTACCCGGGCGGTTGGGTGTCTGAAGGTTTTCTTTTTCCCCAAAAACAAAAAGAACATATATTTTCTTTTGTTTTTTTTTTGTTATGCTTAACATGCTTAAGCAATTGTTTTGTGTAAAAATATAAGCAATACATTTAATATACGTGTGTGTGTAATGCAGCCGAAATTTTTAAATATTTAATACTCCTTTTTCAAATTATTCTGTTCTCAGTAAATTTTCTCTCTATCGCGCTCTTCAGTTTTGGAGCACTTGCTTTACGAAAAAAGCATCCAATCAGAATACGACAACACTGATGTCTAAACCAATGAGAGAAGATGACAACAACGACGTAATTTTATAAAGCTAACTTCATTTAATTGACGTCGCCACGTCTTGTTGTAAAGCCGGATATTGGAGAGCCGGTGTGTTTTAAACAGTTTAAACATGAAGGGTGTAATTTTGAACTTAATTTTATTATTTTTATTTAATTGCTCAGCAAAAGAAGAAGATGTAGTTGTTCTTTCTGATAGTGACTTTGATTCGAGATTACAAGATTATGAAACTGCACTAGTCATGTTTTATGCTCCTTGGTTAGTAAAAGTTTATTGTCTTTGATATTTAGTTATAATTCTCTCTAATACAGGTGTGGACATTGTAAAAAGTTGAAGCCAGAATTCGCCAAAGCAGCTGGTGACTTGCTTAAAAATAGCCCAGCAGTAACTTTAGTCAAAGTTGATTGTACTGAAGCTGGTAAAGAAACTTGCAACAGATTTGGAGTTGGAGGATATCCTACTCTTAAAATTTTCCGAAATGGAGAGTTCTCTCAAGAATATAATGGACCTAGACAGGCTGATGGTATTTATCTGGCATTTTGTTAGTATTCTCAGTCAATATAATATATTATAGGAATTGTGAAATATATGAAAAGTCAAGTTGGTCCTAGTTCAAAAGAAGTTACAACTCTTAACGAATTGGATAAATTTTTACAAGCAGAAAACGATGTTGCAGTAGTTGGTTTCTTTGAAAAAGAATCAGATCTTAAAGTAGCTTTTCTGAAATTGGCTGACAAACTAAGGGAGAAAGTAAGATTTGCACACAGTTCTTACAAGGATGTACTTAATAGTCAAGGCCTGAAGTAAGTTTTTGTTGTTTTAGAGCATAGTATGAAGGTATTATTAAATAATATTATAATTTTAAAAGCAGTTACAAATTCTTACAAAGTATTTATTTATTTGTCAAGAGAAACTTCAAAGGGAATATAATTCATTTTTTTATTTAGTTTTGTGGTTAATTTGGCTGTAATTATATAAAGCGATGGTAGTTACACATATATAGGTACATGGTTAGTAAGTTTTTTAGTACAAACATTGGTCTTAATTGTCTGTTTCCGTCTTTGCATAGAGCTGCTTGGAATAATGTACTTGTCATTTGTTCAAATGTATTTTATATTCTTCAGTGAGTTTTTATTTTTTCTGCATTTTTCTTGAATTATTATTTAGGTATATGACAAAGAGAATTTTGCTGTCTTTCAGTATGTCTGTATGTACAAAAACTGTTCATTGATTTTCATTTTGTTGACAATGTCTGTTTTCATTTTCTTTTAAGTCTAGGTATTGAATGCATACAAGTAATTCTCACTATGCTTAATGTAACATTGATATGGGTAGCAAAAATCTAAACTAAATGACCAGATAATATATACTAGCTCCCAACTGTTGTACTTAATTTGATTAGATGCTTTCTTCATTTTCAGAAAAGTTGGTTTTGCTTGGTTTGTTGACTTATCTTCACAGAATAACTTAATTTTCTGTCAGTAGGTTTCAAATATGTAAATGTTGTTGAAATATTACCGTCTAGCCATAACAATTGACAAAATATTTCTTGCTTTAAAACTTAGGTATTATTTGTTAGAAACTATACATGGAATGTTTTGAGTAGATGATTCAGTGGTCACTTCTAAGTTCTTATTTTAAAGTTCAATATTACATTTTAATCAGTTGTTGTATTGTTAGATTTTAAAGTGTAAATATTTTTTCTATATCGTTTCTTTTGAATTTTTAATATCAAAATAAAGTGCATCTTAATTATGTATTAATTTACAGTCTCAGTATATTACTAATTTTATTACAGAAATGGTATTGTACTATTCCGGCCACCTCATCTTTCTAATAAATTTGAGGATGATTCAGTAACTTATGATGGTGATGCAGATGTTACTGCTATAAATGATTTTGTTGTTAACAACTAGTAAGTACATTTATTTATTTAATTATTCATAAAGGCATTCAAAATAGTTATTTATTCAAATCAACGGTTATACCCCCTATTTTAATTAGAACAATTTCAAACAGATGACATCCAAAGCTAATTGTTTATTAGAAGTCTATCAAACCCTTATAAAATACAGCTTAATGTTCCATATTTTAATTATAGCCATGGTTTAGTGGGACATCGTAAGCCTGACAATGTACAAGAATTCCGTAATCCATTAGTGGTTGCTTATTACTCAGTTGATTACATTAAAAATCCCAAAGGAACAAACTATTGGCGAAACAGAATCCTTAAGGTAAATAGTTTATTATAAGAATAAACTGTATGGTGTACTACTATATTACCTTCTAGGTTGCAAAAGAATTCAAAGGAAGAATCAATTTTGCAGTTAGCAATAAAGACGAATTTCAGAGAGAACTTAATGAATATGGCTTTGATTATGTCAAAGGCGATAAACCAGTTGTTTTTGCTCGTGACATTAAAAATCAGAAATTCGTGATGAAGGACGACTTTTCGTAAGTCTTCTGTTTGTTTAAAATTTTATGTAGTTCATCATTTAAACTGTTTTGAAGGATTGAAACATTGGAGTTGTTTGCGAAGTCTGTATTGGATGGTACATTAGAACCTTACTTGAAGTCTGAGCCAATTCCTGAAACAAATGATGATCCTGTGAAGATAGCCGTTGCAAAGAATTTTGATGAAGTGGTGACTAATAATGACAAAGATGTTCTTGTAGAATTTTATGCTCCTTGGTGTGGACATTGCAAAAAACTAGCCCCTACATTGGATGAACTTGGAAAAAAGGTTGTGTTTTATTATCTAATTCCATCTATAAACTAATTCATTTTTATCTATTAAATTTTTAGTTGGAAAATGAAGACGTTGAAATTGTAAAGATGGATGCTACTGCCAACGATGTACCAGCAGATTATGAAGTAAGAGGTTTTCCTACATTGTATTGGGTTCCGAAGAATAATAAGCAATCGCCAGTCCGTTACGAGGTAAATAGTTTCTCCATGTTTATTTTGTAAGAATATTTCTAGAAAACAAAAATTCATAACTACCTTTATTTAGGGCGGTCGTGAATTGGATGATTTTGTTAACTATATTGCAAAACATGCAACATCTGAGCTTAAGGCATATGACAGGAATGGAAAGAAAAAGAAGACTGAGTTGTAAGAAAATATACTTCAAATTCCCAAAATGGTTAGATGTAGAATAACTTCGTTTTTGTAATAAAAAGTTTAAATTATTTTTGTTTCATAAAAGTAAGAAAATTTTGATTAAATTATGAAGATTAGCCATCTCTTTGTAAACAATTCCGGTTTTATTAAACATTCATTTTATATTTTATTGTTTTGTATTGTCTTACTGACAGTATAATTTAAAAAAACATTTTGATTGTCTCAATTTTTATTTTACTCTTCATCGGGTACTTTCGAACTCTAGTAAAGTTAAGTTGAAATATTCAGTTTGAATTTTGACATCCTTCTATAATTAGATTTATGCGACTGCGGTGAAAATGTACCCTATTCTAATTTTCATTCAGTCATTTTAAGACACACAATAGGTATAAAGTTGACCGAATACGAATTGAAAGTAGTGTTTAAAAAAAGACATTTAAAACAAAATAAAAATAGACATTTTCATTTTATATTTTAAGTACAATTTCAAATAAACCACCTTCGGTTAGAACAGACAGTAGGTTAATGGATGTATTATACATTAAAAGACAATCTAGCTAGTCATTTAAACAAACATACAAAGTGAAAACTGAAATTGTTCTTCTAATTAAAACTAATTTGTATTAATAATTTTTGATGAAACATTCCATTCGATGTTTTATCTAATTGTGTTAATTAGTTATATTTCACAAGTACCAAAGTTACTTTGTGGACTTCTGGATGTCTGTGTGTTTAAAGTATTAAGAAGTATAAATGATATAGGATATTTATAAAAATAGGATGAGGGAGTGTTTACAGTTGATTAGTACCCCTTACTACTCAACCTGTTTTAAAAATAAACTGCACTATATTCAATATTAAAAGTAAGAATCAAAAGTAATACTAGGGAAAGTTAAAGCAACAGTATAATTTAAAGAATATTAACCAATTTTGGAAAGGAGAATTACAGAGCAAGTCCAGAGAAGACAGAAAGACCTGCTATTCACTACATTTAAAAAAGAGAGACTTGTCCTTACTATACTGTGTGGGCTCCTATTTTACTCAACATAAGTTCTTACTAATATAAGACTTGCAATTTTTTATGATAAATATGAATGATATTCTGATTTAATTATTTCAATTGCAACGGAAATACTGATAAACACAAATTTATCATGCAGTAAGAAAATATTTCAACGAAATAAGAACCAATTTAGAAGTTTCTTAAATTTATTTGTATGGAAATTCGTTAGACATGACTTATGTTATTTTATAACCATTATTTAACAACTGCTATGGGTAAACTAACTAAAACAATGACCATAAATACTACTATAAAGGATTACTTTACTGGTTTAGTAAGAATATGAAGTCCATGAATTTGTTTTATTTCTTTATCTAGTGCTTCATATACAGCCCTATGTTGTTTCATGACACTAAGATTATTAAATTCTTTGGCTTCTACATATACATCAAACATAGCACCACAACCACCAGAAACATCCTTCACTTGAATTTCTTTTGCTTTGGGAAAACTTTTTTCTAAAACTGCTTTTAATTCTTTCTCCGTAATACTATTTTTAAGGCAAAATGCTCGTGAAAATAACTGCAAAAGTAAGGTTACAATCGTTACAAAAATTAAATAGTTCGCTATAGAAGAAGATACTTACAAATAGTGGTTTTGAAATGATTACATTTGATCTAAAATTTCTAATTTTTAAAATTAATGTATTCATTCTAACATAAATAATCTTTAAATTTTAATTAAATTTCGCTGATAGTTTATTTTCAATTTTCTTCCAAAGCGCTCTTTTAATTATATTTTGCTACTTAGCAAAAGAGGGCGCAACGTTCTCAAAGTAAGCATGTTTTCGCCTTTTCTATTCTGATTTGTGCGATAAATGTTTTGTTGTTTTCCAAATTAGTTTTAGGACCAAAGTAGGTAAGTTATGATTTACTATTTTATTATATGCTAGGTATATCCTAATTAAATTACTTTATTGAATTGGTTAAAAGTTATATGGTAATTAGAAAATTATCTTCTTAATACAAAAGTATATTCTTTTTTATCAAATATTTTAAGGTTTAGTTACTTTATTTACACATACATTTATTTTTATTTACACGGTTTAATTTAATTTTAATTTGCTATATAATTTAATACTAATGAAAAATAGGTCAAGTCGGGTAAATAAAATTAAAGACTGAAGCAAAAAAATTGAAAAAAAAAAAATGAAAATGAAATATCCAGGTATATCTGGACTTTACTGTGACATTATATTGATATGTAAATAAATAATCATAGCGGCGTAAATTCTAAATTACATTATGTAGTTAAAAAACTTTAGATTATTGGGGTTATAAATTTTAATAGGCTTGCATTGTTGGGTTTAAAATAGTTGGGTTTGAGGGGTTATAAGGTTTTAAACGAGGGGGGGTCAATAGTTTAATGTTTTTGATAATTGTTTAATTTTTGAGGGCCAAATTTCTATTGTAGCCACAGGCCAATTAAGGATCATGCAAGGGCCACTAATAATGTAATAACAGGTTTGTTAGTTCGTATAATTCCTACGCGTTTTGTAAACCATCTAGGGGTATAACAAAACCTGAAGATAGGTCAGTCCACTTTTACTTATTTGTACTTAATTACAATTTGCCAAGTCATTTTCTGAAAGCGTTTTATCAAAAACATAATTTTGCTGTACGCCTACGACATAATATTGTTATAAGTTATAACCACATTTATTATAAGTTATATATATCATGGTTATAACATTATAAAAACTATCCGCATCTCGGAATTTGAATCGCCATTCGCCATATATAAATAGTCCCACTCCTTGATGACGTCACATGTCTGCCATTCTGAGTTGGTGAATTGAGAACGTAGAATGTGGTGTAATGGTGTAACCTTGATTATGATGAAATTATAGTATACAAAAATCGTAAAACTGTTTATAAAAATATCGGGTAACAGTTAGTACAATTTTTTTAAAAATTAAATTTTTAGTTATCAAAGTTCCTCTCCGGGAATGCAAAATATTCAGATATTTTTGTTTATATTGAGGTTGTTTTTGTGCTGTCAGTGTTGTGAAAGCACCCAAATAGCATTCAAGCATTCACAATTGCGGCGCTGTAGTCGGTAGATTGCTTACACCGGTAAGGTGTCATTACTCGATTTTTTATTGTGTTTGTAAACAAGTGTACCCATTGAATAACGCAGTAACGGAATTGTCTACACTTGCGAGATTGTAGAAATGCCGTCAGCTGAAGTGCATGCCATGTCGAATAGTACTACAAATAATATAAACACTGCTCCGCTAAAGAGCCCTGAATTTAATATAAGTTCTAAGGAAGTGGAAGGTTTAGTGATGGAAATTAAAGAAAATCTACGATTATCAGCGACCACATTTAAAGCTATTCCGTGCAGTCATTTGTCTCGCAAGTCTTCTCGGGCTTCTCCATATCGCATTCCGACTAAAATTTGTTCGTGTAATCCTGGGTTATGTGACTCTATGTGTGTGAAAAAAAACCGACGTAAACAACAAATAGAAAGCAATCAGGATGACCCATATGAATTTTTACAAAAGTTGTTACGAGACGGAAGTCTAGTTAATGAGGCTGTCAGACGAGTGCAGTTAGGACTAACACCAAAACAACGTTATTTTTATGAGTCAGATGAGGAATCCAGTCCAGTACTACATCTTTATCCAGGAAACTGAACTGCTAGATTAATTTATTTATCGTAAATGTTCCTTTCACGTGTGTGTGTTACGTGTACACAATCAGAAACTATTCTCCAACTCGTAATCTTTGTTATAAATTATGTATTACAATACGCTTAGTGACTGGTTTCCAAAAATTAGGCATTCGAGTTAAGTGTCTTTAAGTGAAGATTTTCAGTGAAAGAAAATGTTTAACAAATACTGCTTCAGGGATTGAAGATTTTTAGGATAAACTGGTTAAAATATCTTTTATCCCATTTATTGGAGTAGTAATTGAATTAAAGGTTGGAGGTTGTTCTTTTAATTATTTCTATCTGTGATTTTATAAAATTATCGTTTTTAATATATAAGTTCTAAATGCATTTTTCTTAAATTCAGCAAATGAGTTTGGGTTATATTTAAGAACAAAATATAGGTAGGTATGTCAACTATTACTGTTATTGTATTATAGATGATTTTTTAGATTAGTCACTAAATTTAGATTTTTTTAATCGCTGAGGGCGACGGTTCCGTGTAAATGACTTATTTATAAAACCGTTGACTTTGAAGTGTAACACATGGTTGAATAAACAAAACAAACTACATTCAACATTTTTGGCAATGTGAATGTAAATTGACCAAGGCAGTTATTAAACCCTACCTACCTATATTAATACTTACAATCAAACATGCTGTTATCGAATTGAAACATAAAATAGTCATCAATGTAATTTTCTTTAGAAAAAATAATTGCATAATATCTAATTAAATGCAATTGAATACCAGAGTTGACTAAACTAGAAAGTGATAATGGTTTCTTTTTTATGTTTGTGTTTGACCGTTTTTAATTTATCAATATTTATTTTTTCCTAGAGTTTCTGAAACTAATAATAAAGATGCGTAATTCGGAATTCTTATAGAAAGTCATAGCTACGCTAAATTAACTAAAATTTATATCATCATAGGTAAACAAAATCGAATGTTTGTACATACATCATACATGTATAAAATGTTACGTATTTCCAGAGTGTTATAATTGCTTATTTACCATCCACTGTGTCTCCAGATTATTAAGTCTGATATAAAAATTATCAGTATTTACGTACAGTTATATACATTATACACTTATGCCTTAATAATTATCGTAACATTCGAGTGTTATTGTTTTTTAATACTTTGCTTTGCTAATGTAACGAAATTCTATTCAATAATACAATTGATAATTTTCTATAATTAATTTTTATATAACAAAAGGAGTACGTACACATTTTCCATATGTATATACTTTTTTAGAATTAATTGGTTAGATAAATTTAATAATTAAACCGAGGAATTTAATTGGTTTTTTGCAATTATACTTATATCCTATAATGTAGGTAATATGAAAAATTCATGTAAATAGGTTTTCGAAAACGGCTGTAACGGTTTTAACAAAATTCACAGGGTAGGACTTTTTGGGTTGCGAATTATTTAACAATATCCTATTTACTGGAATACTACCTTTCATGCTGTTTTCGGCTATCAATACAAAACAAAACTTATAGACTTTATGCAGCCCAACATACATCCTGTATATTTATGCTGTATATGCATACGTAAGAATTCTGTATAAGAAAACACCCACATTATGCGAAGCATTTTTTACTATTTTTATCCCCCTCCTCCCTCGATGACCGCCCGTAGTATATGCTAACACTCCCTTCTCCCTCTATTTTTCACGTAGTATTTCATAAATACGGTCTTAAATTATTTTTTGCAAAGTTGTGAATATAGTTCGATATTTCCCTAGAGGAGGAGATTAGAGGCCCTATTAAAGAGATTGGCGGTCAGGCCTTTAAAACCTTGCTACAGTACTGGTTCGAGCAATAATTACCAAGGTATAAAATCAGTGGTATCAACAACGATAACAATGTTTGTAATTTTTATTAGCAGTGAATGCGGGTCATCTATTAAAACTGCTATAATTCTGGCTATCCGGTGTGGGTTGTAACTGGGCCGTTCTTTGCACCATCAAATCTACTTTTAATGATTTTGCGCCACGTAAAAGCGCGCGCTTACTCTGCCTACAGGTTGAAGTATGAGTTTCAAAGTTATCGTTAATAATTAACATACAGCCTTAATTTAGATTGATAGTATATTGAAGGAAGTATTCTGCAAGTACCTACTGATAAGTAACTTTTATTCAGTTTTAATACTATTATAAACAATGCGTCTTTTAGGGGTCGGGGGGCTGTAGACCGCCCCGGGCTTCAAAGTCAAGAGGGCTTCGTTTTTTAGTTGAAAAGAAATATTAGGAATTAAACAATATATCTGTATCTATGATTGTATAATTATTAAAGATTTAACATAACTGTTTGAATAAATAATAGTTTATTTAAACGACAAGAAAGATTGGCAATATATTTAAATTTCTATTAAACCACCTTTAAGAAATCATTTTTGATAGAAAATAGATAGCCGTAAGAGGAGCCTCTCTTTAAATTTTAGACTTGGTTCATACTTCGCTTTCAAAGTCAGCACTGTATAATTTTGAATAGGTAGTGTCATTAATTGATTTACAAAAATCGGATAACACTGCTGTACAATACGCAATACCAAAGGTGCTCTAGGAAATCGAAATTTGAAAAATTAATTTTCTGTAATAGTTCAAAAATCAATTTTAGTACTGTAATGTAGGTGTTTTCCGTTGAATAATGTATGTATATATTGTAAACTGAAATTTAAATGCTGAATAATTAAGCGATTAGCTAAAGTAATTAATGAATTTGTTGGAAACGAAGAGGGCCGTATTAAATTTTATTGTCATTTTATTGGAATCTCTGAAAGTGATTACAAAATTCTTATTTCTAAAAAACAACAAATGAAATAGTATAAAGTTTCTTCATTGAGTCATTCCATAGCGAAAAATTGGTTGATCTTTTATGGGTTCATCTTACGAAAAAAATGTAGGCAAATAAAACAGTGGGTATCTATGTAATGAGCATTAGATTTACACATACGTAGTTCCAAAAATTCCAATATTTTGTTCGTCGATGAATGCAACAGTAAAAAGTTATGGAATTATTTTTAATAGCTGCCACATATTTGAATTCTAATTCCTCCCGTTACCATAGCTTTAAATTAAATGTGAACATGGTAGGGTTTTTGTTATGTTTTTATCGTTTAGTGCTGTTGTAAATTTTTAATAATTATGTCTTAAATTCGCTACAGGATTGTTTGTATAGGTCTGTTTTTCTAAAAATGTTTCCGAAAACTTTTTGTGAAATATGTACGTTTTTGTTACATATTACAATAACTGTACTCATGTTGTTACAAGTAAGTTGCCCGGGGAATAACATTTTTTTTTGTATACATCTGTTTCTTGATCAAAATAAATGTTTGTTTTGATCGTTAATGTAGTTTTCATTTCATATTGCACGTCATTGCAGCATTCATGTTGTGGAGGAAAAACTGCGGATATCATTACAAAGTTATGAAGAAAATCATTATTTAATTTTTTAAGTTTAAGGTAAGTGTAAAACTATCCCTAAAACTGCAATGTTATAGGGATGGAATATGTTTTATAATACGGTTCAATAAATAGAATTCTAACTGAATATACGAAATGCGTCCTAGCGTCATTATAATAATCCCAAGAGTGTCCTGTTAATAATAAATACCAACATTGTTTACTAATCGTAAATATACTTATGGACGTATCTATCCCATCACAATCCATTAGGGGTGCAGTTTTAAAAATCCTTAAAAGTAGATTTGATATCTATATATAAAGAAGCACAATTGAAATTATTGCTCCGACTTTAATGAAACTTTAACAACATCTGACTATTAGATAGGGGCGCACTAATAAGAACGGATCTTGCGAAAATTGTTTTGTACTTGTTTGTTTTTCATCAGAAGAGTTATAAGTAGGGTCCACTATCATGTTAAGAAAAAAAAAATCGTGCGATGAGGGAGGGAGTTTTTTTTTTAAACGATTTTTGCTGGTCAGCTCTCTATCACCGCAACCTGCGATAAGAAACTTAGCTTCAAAAAGTTATATTAAAAAAAAGTGTATGTCATATTTTTATTTTTACAGGTACATGTTAAAATTGATACATAATAAAAAGAGTATGTTGCTGTCCAGGAAGGACGTAGTGTTGTGGTGTAGTATATTCGTTAGGTACCAGTATTTAATATAGAAATAATAAATTATCTTATCGATGAGAAAATTATTGTATTATAATTTTTTTACTTTTATGACAGTATGCTGATATCGATGATATATCCATAAAATAAATGATAAGCAGTACATTCATTATGATTTATTTTCATTTTTTATAGATTGCCACCTTCAATCGATCGTAGCATAGAAAACAGTGATAATGTCTCAAAATCGGTAAGTTTTATTACTGTTACTAAGTTTGATAACTAATAAGAATTTTCAAAGAAGTGTTGTGTTTTTAAGAACTGGGCCTAGTTAATCCATTGTTAGGTTTATTTAAAATCATCCAGACATCCTAATAGTCATTTTATTCTGTAGAAAAACTTTACCCATTCGATTGATTTAGAATGCTATATCATATAATTAATAAATACGACTTTCGAATTTTTGACTTCAGCTACCTAAGAGTAGTTTGATGAACCTAGACCAAAAAAAAAAGTTACGGGCATATAGTGCGTTAAATACAAACACATTTTGAAATTATAGTGGTAAATAAAAACAAGTAAAATAAATGAAGAAAAAAAAATATATCATCGGATAGGAAACACTCATCTGACAGGTATCCTAATTTTTTTAAATGTCATCCTGCTCAGAGGACATTTACAGGCAATGACGTCTTGCGTAACGATTCGCATATTTTTGTTGCAAAGTTGAAGGCCACATACAAAAATATTAATAAAGCATTAACTACGTAATTATTAAGTTTAGAAGAACTTATTTCATGTTGTAGATTTACGCATAGGCCCGTGAGGCCCGGGCCTAGGTCGGCAAAATATTGAGGAGGCCCAAAAAATTTTACGGCTATCAATTTTTGGAAGAGAAATATTTCTCCGTTTAGATTTCTCATTGCCATTGCTCGTGCCGCTCTATCGATCTGTCGCCGCAACCATACGTTTATAACAATATAATTCATTGCGCTATTTCAGTTTAACTTGTTACAGTTATAAACTATGGATGGGCCCAGGCACTTATTGTGTACCCCCCGAGCTGTTTGCTTTGAATAGATCGAGGTTAGCTGAAAGGCTGAATTCAAAAGAAATTCCTAAAAAATCTGTGGTTCTTTTACAAGGAGGAAATGAGATCCCCTTTAATGATACTGATACAAACTATCTGTTTAGACAAGTAAGTTTGAAATATGCATATACTTAATCTCTATTCGGAAGTAGTTACATGTACCGTATATCAAATCTCGGCAGTTTACGTTCATTATAAAAAAGAGTGCGGGACGATAGATAACACGGCTCAAAACGTGCCCCATAAGAATATATGTTTTTCTGAAATTTTTGCGAGTATCCTGTATACATATTTGCTCATGAGTGGTATCAAATGAAAGCTACCTATATGTACAAAAACACTGAAAAAGTTCATCGTGGCAATGTGTACATGACTAAAAGTGCATACAGAGGAGTTTTGATCGGAAAGCTCTTAGGGTACTGTCAATAGTTTTTGTTTTAGGAATCATACTTTATGTGGACGTTTGGTGTTCTAGAGGAAAAATGTTTTGGTGCGTTGGATTTGGATACAAGAAAATCATTTTTATTCGTACCAAGACTTCCTGAGTCATACGCAGTATGGATGGGACCTCTTTACACATTGGACGATTTTAAGATGAAATATAAAATTGACAGCGTACATTATACTGATGAGGTAACCAATGGGCATATTATTTACCATTCTTATATATTCCTTAATCACTATTGTTGTTGCATTAAGGCTGAGCGTTCATACGCATCCTGTAAAGTTCTAAAATTGTTTATCTGTTGGCCCACTCTGAGCATAACTATGCGACGTTTTTTTATATATATATATATAATGATGCAAAAATATCCAAATCTAAAGTTATTGTGTTTTTTTCTTGGTGAATGTAATTAAAATGATGAAAAAAGGCATACTCACGAAGGCTAGAAATTTACATGCGGTTTAATATACCTAAGCTTATGATAAAACGCCTGGATATGTGTATAATGTCTTACTGTACATATTTCTAGTTATTACAATTTTCCAAGTCATTTTCTAAAAGGCCCGGCGTTTTATAAAAAGCGTAGTTTTACTATATCTATACTACAGTTAATTTTTTACTTTTTATTTTTTTGTAGATTGCTGAAGTGCTGAAAAATCATGGTGCATCTGTTTTATTAACTCTGGTAAACTATTAATACTTTTATTGTGTTCATGTGTTTAAATATCATGATATTGTTTAGAAAGGAATAAACAGTGATAGCGGTTCCGAATCAAAAGAAGCGAGCTTTACCGGAATAGAAAGGTTTGACATCAATAGAGGCTTTTTTCTCAATAATGATTTTATAATTTTCAGCTTTCAAGTTAATAATGCTCTCCTCTTTCCTGAAATTGCGGATTTGTAAGTTTAGTGTTTCTTTTTTTTTTTTTCAATTTACTGCTTCCTTCTTATTAAGTTATGATGTTTTCGAATCTGTATCAGAAATTTAAACTCTTCGGTAAAAATCGGAAATATTCGGTAGAAACACTGTGTGGTATGTTTTTCTCTCGAAATCATCTTTACGGAATTCCCACGCTTACGCGTATTTTAAATTTTAAAAACTGAATTTCCAAAAAATTTCCGTCTAGGTAATTACTCAATCGGGAGTGTTTACCTTCACCACCATGCTCTTCCGCCGATTCTACTATTTCAGTCAGCTATTGAGAAAGCTTAATATCATTATAATAAAAAAAAATATTTTTGTTTATTTCGTAGACGTACAGTTAAAACTGATTTAGAATTGGATGTGATACGTTATGTAGTAGAAGTGTCATCAGCAGCACATAGAAAAGTTATGAGGATGGCGAGACCTGGCAAAACTGAATACCAATGTGAATCAGAGTTTCTGCATTATTGTTATTCTGTTGGAGGTTGTAGATATGTTTCTTATACTTGCATATGTGGATCAGGACCTAATGCTGCTATACTACATTACGGTCATCCAGGAGCACCTAATGACCGTTTTATACAAGATGGAGATACACTGTGAGACTTCCGTTTTTATTTAACCGTTAAAATTTAACAAAGAATGTGACAGTTGTTTATAAATCAATATAGAGTATAACTTTAATAATTTTAAGTTTGGAAACTATTTCAGTCTTTTCGATATGGGTGCTAACTATATGGGTTTTGCTGCAGACATAACTTGTTCTTTTCCTGCTAATGGAACGTTTACTTCTATGCAAAGGTTAATATACGAAGCCGTTTTAAAATCTAATTTAGCAGTAATGACAAACGGAAAGCCAGGAGTTTTATGGACTGATATGCATTTACTAGCAAACAAAGTGCTTCTTCAAGAATTGAAAAATGGTGGTCTTTTAACTGGTAATGTTGATGAAATGGTCAAGGCAGGTTTGGCTGCTATTTTCCAACCTCACGGATTGGGTCATCTATTAGGACTTGATGTGCATGATGTGGGTGGTTATCTTGACAACAATCCCCCGAGACCAAAGGAACCAAGGGGGGCTGAAAAATTGAGAACAGCTCGAGTTTTGCAAAAAAACATGGTCCTTACTATTGAACCGGGATGTTACTTTATTGATCCGGTAATATTTATTTTAGAGATTTTACTTTACTACTTGCCAATTCCCGAAATTTTGCCAAAACAGAGCATATGATGCGTGACTGTCGCTAACTTTACGATGAGGCAGAAATAGAAACCTTCTCTCTCTCGCGAATGAATATCGCGTCGTTTACCCCTCTTCTCAATATTAGCTAGTGTCAGTAGAACACGCATAGTTGTAACCTACGTGTATGAAAATTAAATGTTAAATAAGAATATTGTAATAATCTTTATTGATCAAAATCTATTTAAGTAGTTTTTCGTGATGCTTACACATTATTTATTTTATTTATATACTTAAATACTGTTATTTGATTAAAGTTAAAACATATACTGATATACTACCCATTTTAGTTACTTGATTCAGCTCTTGCTGATCCCAAATTAGCACAATTTATAATAAAAGAAGAAATTGAAAGGTTTAGAGGATTTGGTGGAATTCGAATTGAAGATGATGTTGTTGTTACTGAGAATGGCATTGAAAATTTAACAAAAGTACCAAGAACGTATGTTCTATGCTTAGTTTTAAATCTGCATACACAGAATTAACTTTTATTTATTATAGTATTCAGGAAATTGAAGATTGGATTTCTGGGAAAGATGATGGCAAATACTAGAAAGATTTGTGAATGTATGCATACACATAAAGTGGGTAGGTAAACATTTTTATATACAACAAAATATATTTACTGTAACACGTACTCAAGTATATTTTTTGGAAAATAAGTACTCGATTATATTAGTCTACAAATGTTTCGATAATGATCCATTGGTGATGAATAATAATAAACTGTACATGACTTCTTAATTTTTGCAATTATGAAATGCAACTTATTAAAAGTCTGTTATATTACCACATAAAGAAAAACAACAACCATTGCATTAATTTTGAGGCGACCTTCTTAAATGGAAAATCAACTGTATACTCTGCGGAATAATACTGTATATACCTTACGATGAACTTATGAGGTATGTTAAACTTTAAGAAGTTTGTCTTCTGCACGGTCCGATCGCGTTTATTATTTGTACATACAAGTTCGAGAAGTAAAACATTACCTAGCAAAAACAGTAAACATGAGAAAAGAACCGAATGCAACCATATCTGATCAGCAAAAATATGTATTATATAGTTTTATTCAAAGAACAAATACAAAAAACATAAACATTTTTGGTGATGGAGAGTTTAATTTTAAATGAATAAACATAAATTGAGAAGAAGAAAAATGTTCCATCTGCGTAGAATAGAATCTCGGGCACTGATTTTCCAAAACGATCTACATCTGAAATTAGTATTCACCTTGCGATTCAGGCAATTAAGGATTAAACTGGAATTGAACGGCACTCTGTCTGATGAAAAGGCGGTCTAAGTGAAATAAAAAGAATAAAAATGAAAAAAGAACGTAATCTACCGGCTGCAGCATGGCTAGACACTACATTTGACACAGTTTTCTATCGTTATTACTTCTATGTTTGGATTTTATACAGTTTATCTATGCTAATACAACTATGGTCCTTTGTATATCTATGACTATGGTAGTATGCAACGTAACAGCTTGTCTATGGTAACAGTGCAGCGTATATTAATGTGTTAAAACCGTGAAATTAATCTATGTTGTGGAACATTGAATTATGATTGAAAGTGATTTACAAAAAACACAGATTAAAAGAGTGGAAAGAGTACCGTTGTTCAATGATATGCTGGCACTGTGTTAATTTTGTATATCTATGCTTCATATTATGTATATTTCAGTTGTCAGCGAAGGGGCATCTTGAGTGTAATTATAGTAGTTTGTTTTTAAATTATAAGTAAACAGTTATGACCATGCATACACTACTATTACAACGACGACATTTTTATTACTATGCTATAAATAATGGTTAAATAGTATAGTTTTGATGCATAGTTTAGCTGAAGCACAAAGTTTTCGAATATTTGAAATTTGGATGGTTAACGTAATTTGCTATAATGGCAACTCAAAAACCAGGAGAGTGGGCCAGTTCTCTAATAGCACGTTTTGAAGAACAGGTCAGTTGAATTCCAGTCATGTTTAAAAAATAATTATTGTTATGTCTTTGCATAAATTTTCATGTTCATATCTGTTCATCTGTTGTCATAAAGTAGTTAATAATTTTTGTAGCTTCCTTGTCGTATTGGATCTCAAACTACACATTCACGTATTAATGAAGAAGAAAATAAAAATTGTATTATTCAAATATCTCGTTATCGCTTTTCATTAGTTCTCGATGGTTTTGTGAAAGTATTAAAACATATTAATGATCTAGTAAGTATACATAATTGTGTAATGATATTTTAAACTAATAAGGAAATATTAATTTTTTAAGTACCAACAGGGAACCTTGGGAACACAGAGACAGCATCATGAAACAGAAAAAAATTATTATGATAGTGTTATAATTGTTTTAGAGACTTTAGAAAAGTGTTTTAGCATTCAACCGAGAGATTCAATCAACTTAACAATGGAAGAAAATCAAAACTTGAAATCTCTTCTGAAGGAAATATGCACATTTCTAGGTAGTTTTCATTTTGTTTAAGGTACAAACAAAAACTTATATGTATTGTTTTCAGATATGCCTCAAGAAAATCCAAATAATCATGCAATTAAGCTATTAGCAAGTAAAGTTCTCTTTGCTTTGAGTGTAAATTTCTTCAATGTTGTCTTCAGTCGTATTTCATCAAAATTACAAGAACTTGCATCTTGTCCAGAAGAAAATTCTGATTATAGTGATATAGAATTAATACAGCATATTAATGTAGATATTTTTAGATTAACTAAGTTGTTAACAGGTAGGTAAAAAATAATAATTTGTTTATTATATTTATTGCTACACAATAGGTATTGATATTTTATCATATTTATCGTATAGTTAAATGTATATATTTACATATGGGTACATTTTCTATTAATGATTTTTAGAAAGTATACAGAAGTTTCGACTTCTTAAAAAATCGGCTCACCTAGTGTTGATGAATTCATTGGAAAAAGTTATATGGAACTGGATGGACACTTACCCCTATGAGTTTGCTGAATTACATAAAAATCCTAATGATGAACTGTCAAAATGTTGTGAGCAGCTTTTCGATATACTGGATGCATTTGCTGATAACAAAAAAGGAAGGGCAGCTGTTTGGCCACTTCAAATTATGTTGTTAATATTGTCTCCCGTAAGTTGCTTTTGTAATAAATTATTTAACTAAAAGTTGATCCAGTTCACTTAACCATTGCAGTCTTGTAGCACTGAGCTAGGGACCAATGTTTGCCTTATGTAATTATCTTAGAATCGGAAAGTTCGCAGTTCTAGAGGGTTATTCTATTCTTTCATTCAAACAGCGTTGCTATAGGAATAGTACTTTCAACTTGTTTTTTTAAAAGTGACTTATTGTTGGAAACTAAAAATTCTCCGAATTTAAGCTTAGACTTACAACACATGCATTACGTAACTATCTTTTATAATAATAATATATATTTAACTAATTTATGTAAGGGTAGGGGTCAGGCCAGGCAATACAGGTCTCTTATGTGGGGACAGGGAGGATCAAAAATTAACTAGTTTTGCGTTACGTAATTTATGGACAGCCTTTAATGTATGTAGTTGGTTAATACATGGCATTACAAATACAACAATAAAAAGGAATATGTAACAATATAGATATGCATTGATAACACATATATACTATACAGGTAAAAACAGACTTAACAAACTAAATACAGTATCGGTTAATTAAATACTACACTGTTCCCTGACCTACATGCCCACTTTATCCTTATTTGTTGGTTCATCTCTTAGGCATTATAATGTTCTACGTTTGTACGGTTTTAGAGGTTTAAGAAGTCATTCGCGAGACAAAATTATGGAATTACCTGACTATATAGACATCTAATTAAAGGATGAAACTGTTTTCGATATCCATGATGTCATTATATAGGAATTTTTAAAGAAAAGAAAACAGGAGAATTAACTTTATAGGTGGCGGTATGCCAAATTGCGTTAACAACAGTAGGCAGGACATATGAAAAGTCTTCATAAATGCGCAGTGTTAAAGCGAGCATTTTGCGCAATGTCATCTAGTTTCATTTATATGCTCTGCTCATTGCTGATAACGCTTTTTGATGTAAAATATATTACGCTTTAGGTCGAGAAATACTTCTCGTATGGGTTTAAGTTAGGATATGGTAAAGGGGTTTTCCTAATTGGTGCATGTAAAGTGCTTTGTATCAAGGACTAAGGTATGGGTATCGCCATGTTTGTAAGTGCTAAACACCATCAACGCAGTACCCATCCATTTAATTTTGGACGGGTTCAACCAGTTTTATTATAAAGCTTTACTGTTTTTATTAGGTATTAGTCTATTGTAAAAATTTGTTTTCATTTAATTATCATGATGATAAAATTAAACATAACATCATTATTACTTTTTTCAGTATGATTTTTTTGCGATGTTGATTACTTGCGAAAGTAGACAAAAAGTAGCATTAAGATTTTGCCAGCGCTGTCTCTTTAGTTTCTGAAAAAGGTAACTTTATTTCCGAAAAGTATAAACGGTTAGGGTTGTGGTTTAGCGTTGGCGTTCTAACTATTTAGTGTTTTACAATACTGCCAATGTTTCCAGTCTTATAGATTAGGAAGGATTATTAATTTTTGAACATGTACATGTAACTTAAATGATTTATTATTGTAGACAGTACTCGAAGAAATTGTGCATGCAGATAGTGGAACACCGTGTTCTCCTCGTCATTCTAAGAAGAAACAATTTATAGATACTTTGAAGCGTTCGCTTTGTGTTCATAGTAACTCCAGTAAATCAGCCGAAGTTGCTGCAGTTTCCTGCGTTAAATTAAGCAAAGCATCTACGTATATTAATATTGTTGATTCTAATAATATTGTTTTTTCCCTTGTACAAAGTGTCGTTAACGATCTGAAGGTAAAAGTGCATCAGTTTATTTTCCTTTTATTATGGTAAAACAACTTTCGCTTTATAGACTTTACTTTTCAATCCAAGTAAGCAGTTTTCCAGAGGACAAAATTATCTTTATCAAGATATGGATCTCATGATTGACTGTTTTGTGTCATGTTTTCGGATAAAACCTCATAATAACGAGGCTTTAAAAATATGTCTTAATTTGACCTTACCTTCAACTTACCATTTCGTCTTGGTGAGGTCTTTATATAGGTAGGTATTTATTACCGCACCTAAATGTTAATGATGCTATGTTCCACATTTATTTCATATTAGCAAATAAAATTCAAATATATATTACATTATAACTAGCGTTAGTGGCTCCCAAGTCGGACTCTTAAAGTACCAATCAATTCCTGTACTAAGAAGTAGTGGATTAGTAAAAACAATTCCCTCCCCTTTTTATACTACTAATATAGATCTATTTGTTGTAGTTTTTTCTGCTTTGCAAATAAATTTATATGCATAATAACGGACAACTAAAATAAACGAAGGGTTTAATTTTTTTCAGAATTGTTACACAACCGCGACTTCCTTGGTGGCCACAAATAGATCTTGTTTACAATAAATCTTCAGAACTTCGGGCATTGTTTACAGATACCCTTAATAAAGTAGCTCAAGGTTACAGTGCTCATACACCTCTCCGAATGATTCAGTCGCTTACACTTAAAGGAAAGGATTCTCAAATTAAGTTTAAAGACCGAGCAGAAGAAATTCCTGGTATTCGAAATCTCTTGCTTTATATGGTGCGACTGATACATGCCGATCCGATGCTTATGCTGAACGTGAGTTAAAACAATTATTTAAATATGATACGTAAGTAGACCAGGACTCTTCAGTTAATTTTTTGGAAGATATGACGAGCTGCAATAGAGGATGAAGGCCAAGTATAAAACGCAACACTACTTCTGTGTTTTTTACATCTTAGTGAAGAGAAAAAAAGCTTCTTGTACGTTACTTATTATGTAAACTGTTTTTGATAAATTAAGTGATCTGACCAACTTAAAATATTTATCAATTAAATAAAGAATACATACATATAGAAACAGGAAAGAAATACATTAGTGATACAGGAATATTTTTATAGAATCAAGGTAAAGCAGGCCATGAAATCCAAAGTTCTACATTGGAGTTAATTAATGGCTTAGTTTCATTAGTTCATCAATCTAATATGCCCGATATTGCACAAGAAGCTATGGAAGCTTTACTTGTTCTTCATCATCCTGAGAAAATTGAAGTTTGGAATCCTGAAGCTCCTATCAATACCTTTTGGGATGTCAGGTAAGAAATTATGTATAATTTTGAAACATACAAGGGACAGGCTAAAAATAACGATATCATAATATTGGTTTATCATAATACCTGTGAGTAAAAAAATAAAATTCGCAGTTTCACAAAATAGACAGTTCCGGTAAACTATTAACGGTACTGTTTGTGGTATTTTTGACAGATTGAGTTTCTAACTAATTTATTTAGTATTACTTGTATTAGGTACTTAAAATTAATGACTACGCAAAATAAGGGCTTTCATAAACTATAAGGGTTTGATATTTCGGTTGAATTGGGAAGCGTTCACACGTAATGAATGTAATGTATAATAATGCAGGAAACGTAAAATTATGTTAAGTTTTTATGGAAACCAGGGTTTATTAAAAGTCATCATTTTGTATGTACATTAATATTGTTATAATTGGTTTGTTAAAATTTCTTTATAAGTTGTATATTGATTACTCCTACTTTTTTAGACATAGGTTTAATTTAAGAAATTGCAGATTTCAAACTTTAGTGTATAACGTTATAATTTATTTTAATTGTTCTTTGCAGTTCCCAGGTCTTATTTTCTATATCTCAAAAATTGATACAGCATCAAATCATAAATTACACAGACATTTTAAAGTGGCTACGCGAAATTCTTGTATGCCGAAATGCCTTTCTATCAAAGCATAAAGAGTATGCAAATTTAGGCAGTCAAATTGCTATCTGCAAACAGGCGCATATTAAATTGGAAGTGGTTTTCTTTATGTACCTCTGGAGTATAGACATGGATGCAGTCTTAACTGCAATGAGTTGTTTTGCACTGTTATGTCAAGAGGCAGAAATAAGATGTGGATCTGATGATGTTACTGTTACATATTTAGTGCCTAATTGTCATGTTTATCAGGAATTAGCTCAAGCGTCAACCGTATTAACTTCTGGTAAGTTTGCTTAAAAGCAAAATTTTTAGTTTCATAGAATATGTACTTCTTTAAAGTCGCTTTTCATAGAGCGAATCCAGATTTAAGATTTCATTGTATGAACAAATAATAAAGTACTTTAGGTAACATTATAAAATATGCGATACACTTGACAATTACTTTGAACTCGTAATACATAGACTGAAATTTAATTTAATTTTAATACATTAAGCAATGGTAGTACCACAACAATTTGAACAAATCGAAATAATGACATTATTTTAGGTGACTTAGAAAATCTACTGTTGAAAACAGTTATATTTAAAATTTAAGCTATCCTTTAATAGAAAAGAGCGAGTAAAACGAATATTTAATTGTTTAAATTAAACACAGCTTTTAAATCTGAATGAGAAATAAGGGTTTCTAATTTAAAAAATAAACATGACTTTTAAACGAACTTGAAAGCTATCCTTGGGGTGAACAAACCGAGTAGTCTACTGGTTAGAGGAAAAAACATAACTTAGCGTTCGGGAGGCGACCGAGTCGATTTCTGTAGGAAGATGCTGGGATAGTAATATTCTTTCACTCTTCTTCTGCCTTCATCTCGCCTGTACCGACTTACTCTCCCTAACCATCTCCACTCACCCATTCCCACGAATAGTTAAGGTGGTTAAAGAGGGCCTTCCTCCTACGCACACATCACTGTGCGACAGTGTAAGTCGGTGGGATGGCCAGCCTGGCCGTTGACATCAATTACTATAAATGAAACACCTTTAAGTTTTGTTTTCGTTTTTTTTTTTTTTCGGGTTTTGAGTAAATTAAATTAAATTACATGGTACTATTTTTTTTTGTGTATTCTTTGACATTCACATAATTTTTTGGTATTATTATATCAGATATTTAATTAGATAACATTTTAAGTTCTTTATACAGAAAAGTTATTTTACTTTTGATCTCGCACTTACATTTGAATCTTTACATAGCTAGCGGGGAATCCCGAATGTGCTTTCCTGAACATGTTAATGGTAAGTCGAACTTTATTGTAATGTAAAAATATGACAAAATTATTTGAACAGTTTTAAGCAACGCATTCGGTTTATCTACGATACAAAGGCCACTTCAAGAATTTCATATTATGATGATACCATGGAGTTTCATTTTTTGTGTGAATATTGTTATTAATATTTAGAGTTTATGTTTTTCATTTTACGGACCTTTCTAAAGCTACATAGAAACAGTTTCATAGTTATAATTTAAGATTTAAGAAATTTTATTTTAATATATTTAAAGAAAACACTGAAAATATTAAAATAAGTTCGCATTTGTAAGTTTTCTATTGTACATTTCTTTTTATTCATTTTGATTAATTTCAGGGAGAGCGGCCCTCCAAAAAAAAATTATGGCATTACTAAGAACTATTGAGCATTGTGTAAATGGCGTTCAACCAGCTTGGGAAGAAACTTTTATGTATTGGAACTCAGTTTGTAAAAACTTAGCCTCATATCCAAAAGCTAAAGTTGAAGATGGGCAAATGGAACCATTTCATCGGTCAATGGGCAAAAGAAGAGCATCACATCAAAATTCTGAACATGAACTAGAAGTACAGAATACTGCTTTTATAAACTTGAGTTTATCATCTAGTAATAATGAATTATTTAGGATCAAATAAACGAATGGGCTAATATGACGGGGTTTCTATGTTCGCTGGGCGGAGTATGTCTTCAAAGAAAGTCACCATCTAGACCTCATTTATCTCTTTCTTCGTATTCAAGTTCTTGCATGACACTTAGTTCAGTGTGTTCAAGTTTGCCTACGGATAGTCGGAAGTGTAGTGTACTAGCGAGTGGCGCTCAAGAACAAAGACAGTATTGTCCAGTAACACAGTATGAAAGAATTTATAATTTTCTGTACTTAATATCAAATTGTCTCAACTTTTAGATTTGTAGACCTGTTGTTAAGACTTCTAGTCTGTAACAACGAAAAATTTGGAGCTCAAATACAAAAACATGTCAAAGAACTGGTAGGGCATGAAATGTCTCCAGCTTTATATCCTATTCTTTTTGATCAAATTAAAACAATAGTAGATAAGTTTTTTGACCAGCAAGGGCAAGTAGTAGTAACAGATGTTAATACACAGTTTATCGAACACATCGTTTTCATAATGAGAAATATCCTAGACGGAACTAAAAATGAGCAACCTTCAGAACATTTGGGTGTGACAAGTATTGAAGGATTAATGCTTGGAGTAGTCCGGTAAAATCAATTTTTAAGAACTCCATTTACTTATGTGATCCATCCCATTAATTATGGCTCTTTTAATTTATCCTATTTCAGGTATGTTCGTCATTTGGACATGACTGTTCATGCTATACATATTAAGACAAAGTTATGTCAGTTAGTTGAGGCAATGATGAAAAGAAGGGACGATTTAGCTTTCAGACAAGAAATGAAGTTTCGAAACAAACTGGTTGAATATCTTACTGATTGGGTTATGGGAGCATCCCATCAGATTGCACCACCTGGTTCAGGAGATGCTTCTTGCATTACAAGAGATTTAGATCAGGCTTGTATGGAAGCTGTGGCCTCATTATTGAGAGGGCTGCCGTTACAACCAGAAGAATCTGATAGGGGTGATCTTATGGAAGCTAAAAGTCAATTGTTTTTGAAATATTTTACTTTATTTATGAATCTTCTTAATGACTGTACTGACGCTGCTGATGTAGAAAAAGATATCCAAAGACAGCGCATTAGTGCCAATAAATTAAATACACTGAGAAATGCAACAATTCAAGCTATGTCGAATTTGCTGTCAGCGAATATTGATAGTGGATTAATGCATTCTATTGGTAAATGTTTTACATAAGTATTATATTAGAAATGAAATTCTGTTATTACTGCGTTTTTGTTGCATTATAAAACACTTTTGTAAAAAGATATTGAGAATTTGATTACTTTTGTGGATGTCACAGAGAAGTAGTAAAATTAATTTTTTATTTGATAAACTAAACCAGAAAATAATGAAGGCAACACGTATTTTACCTATTAAGTATCTAAGTGATAAAAGTTTTGAATCAAGAAATATATTTTATTATTTCCCTGTGGCTAATGTTTGGTAATGCATTTTTACTGGTAATAACAAATACGTTATGAAGAATGTTCATGCATTTTAGTGTTATACATACACTGAATTCTGTTTGTATTTATTCATGTTTGTTTTAGATTTGGGATATAATAGAGATTTACAAACAAGAGCTGCATTTATGGAAGTTCTGACAAAGATACTTCAACAAGGAACAGAGTTTGATACCCTAGCTGAGACGGTTTTAGCTGATAGATTTGAGCAGCTGGTCCAGTTAGTAACAATGATAAGTGATAAAGGAGAGTTGCCGATTGCCATGGCATTGGCCAATGTTGTTACTACTTCTCAAATGGATGAGTTAGCCAGAGTATTTGTTACACTTTTTGATGCTAAACACTTGCTATCTCCCTTATTATGGAATATGTTTTACCGAGAGGTAGAAGTCTCTGATTGTATGCAAACACTTTTTCGTGGCAATTCACTGGGTAGCAAAATAATGTCATTTTGTTTTAAAATTTATGGAGCCAGTTATTTACAGTCTTTGCTCGAACCTCTTATCCGACCACTTCTAGATGAACCTACATGTAGTTTTGAAGTAGACCCTGCACGGTATTCTTTAGTACAATATATTAATTATGAAAGAAAAATAATTTATTTTAAACTTTAGATTAGATTCAAATGAGGATATAGAAGAGAATAGGAAAAATCTAATAGCCTTAACTCAAAAGGTTTTCGATGCTATTATTAACTCTGCTGAAAGGTTTCCTCCACAATTGAGATCTATGTGTCATTGTCTTTATCAAGTTTTAAGTAAAAGATTTCCTCAGTTTCCTCAAAATAACATTGGTGCTGTAGGAACCGTTATATTTTTGAGGTTTATTAATCCTGCCATTGTTTCCCCTCAAGAGATGGGAATTGTTAATAAACAAGTGCCACTTCCTATTAAAAGGGGTCTTATGCTAATGTCAAAAATTTTACAAAATATCGCAAACCATGTTGAATTCAGCAAAGAACAGCATATGCTGCCTTTTAATGATTTTCTTAGAATTCATTTTGAAATAGGTAGAAGGTAACTATGTACAATTTCAATTTTTTAAGGTTTTTCATTTATTCTTTGATTATAGATTTTTTATTAACTATACGTATGTATGTTGTATATTTCTTTATCTAATATTTGATTATAGATTTTTTATACAAATTGCATCGGACTGTGAAACTGTTGATCACACTTCACATTCAATGTCATTTATAAGTGATGCCAACGTTTTGGCCCTTCACAGATTACTGTGGAACCATCAAGAACGTATAGGAGATTATTTATCTAGTAGTCGAGATCATAAAGCTGTTGGCCGGAGGCCATTTGATAAAATGGCCACTTTGTTAGCATATTTAGGCCCACCTGAACATAAACCTGTCGATTCTCAGTATGTTTTTATTTTCTTCTAAATAGTTTTTGCAAACCAATAATAAGTTAAATAATTTTATTTAAACTTTAGCATTCTTTTTTCGTCATACGCAAGATGGAGCTCTATTGATATGTCTTCTACAAATTTTGAAGAGATAATGGTAAAACATAATATGCACGAAAAGGAGGAATTTAAGTCCATTAAATCACTTAATATTTTTTATCAAGCTGGTACTAGTCGAGCAGGCCATCCCATATTTTATTATATAGCAAGGCGATATAAGTATATTCTTTTAATGGTACATATGCAAATTAAGTAAATTAAACTTTAAAATTGTAGAATAGGGGAAACGAATGGCGATTTACTAATATATCATGTAATTTTAACGTTAAAGCCTTTCTGCCATTCTCCTTTTGAGTTAGTTGTAGACTTCACACACACATGTGCGGACAATAGGTTTAGGTAACAAAAAATTAATAAAAAGTAATGTAATTCGTAATCGTTACAATTGTTTTTAGAACTGAATTTTTACAAAAATGGTTCTATGTTCTTCCAGAAGTGGCTTATGATAACATTCACGCAGCTTACATTTATAATTGTAATAGCTGGGTAAGAGAATATACAAAATATCATGACAGAATATTGGCACCTCTTAAGGTAAAAATTTTGTTCACTTGTCTTTACAGCGAATTTACTGTTCACTATTGCAGGGGAATAGAAAATTAATTTTTATTGAATCTCCAACAAGATTGAATGATGTTATCGAAATTGATCAACAAAAACTTCCAGGAGCTACTCTTAGCTTGGACGAGGATTTAAAAGTATTTAATAATGCGCTAAAACTTTCCCACAAAGACACGAAAGTTGCAATAAAAGTTGGTCCTACAGCAATTCAGATTACTTCATCTGAGAAAACTAAAGTCCTTTCTCATTCTGTTCTTTTAAATGATGTTTATTATGCATCTGAAATTGAAGAAGTCTGCCTTGTTGATGACAATCAATTCACCTTAACCATAGCCAATGAAAGTGGGCCACTTAGTTTTATTCACAATGATTGTGATAGTATTGTGCAAGCGATTATCCATATTAGAAATAGATGGGAGCTCAGTCAACCTGTAAAACATTTCAAAGAAAAGTATAATATTCTTTTACTTTAGTTTTTTTGTAGGATTCGGTAACTGTACACCAAAAGATTAGACCTAAAGATGTTCCCGGAACGCTTCTTAATATGGCATTACTTAATTTGGGTTCATCTGATCCCAATCTTCGAACTGCCGCTTATAATCATTTATGCGCTTTAACAGCAACGTTCGATTTAAAAATTGAGGGTCAACTTTTGGAGACGTCAGGTCTTTGTATTCCTTCCAACAATACCATATTTATAAAATCGATTTCTGAAAAACTTGCGACCAACGAACCTCATCTAACACTTGAATTTTTGGAAGAATGCATCCAGGGTTTTAGAGTATCGACCATTGAATTAAAACATTTGTGTTTGGAATATATGACTCCTTGGCTTGGAAATCTTGTTCGGTACGTGTCGATGTAATGTATACTTACCATTCTGATTTTTACAATGAATGTAGATTTTGCAAACCTTCAGAAGAAAACAAACGCCAAAAGCAAGTCGGTCAAATTTTGGAAAAATTAATTTTAATGACGATTGAGGAAGTTGAGATGTATCCTTCCATACAAGCAAAAATTTGGGGCTCTATTGGTCATGTCCCGGAACTAATAGACATGGTTCTTGACAATTTTATTCACAGATCAGTGAGCTCGGGTTTAGGATCACCGATGGTTGAAATAATGGCGGATACTGCAGTTGCATTAGCGTCAGCAAACGTACAGCTTGTTGCCAAGAAAGTTATTGGTCGATTAATAAAGGTTATATTTAAAAAAATATACTTGAGACTAGGCATGAAAGAAGTTTTTGTAGGTGGTAGATAAAACATGTCAGTCGCCAACTCCACTACTAGAGCAGCATATGATGTGGGATGATATAGCTATTTTAGCCAGATATCTACTAATGTTATCTTTCAATAACTGTTTGGACGTTGCGCGTCATTTGCCATACTTATTTCATACAGTTACTTTTCTTGTTTGCTCAGGATCTTTAAGTATGCGCGCCTCAACTCATGGATTAGTAATAAACATTATACATTCATTGTGCACGTGCACTAAGCCATCTTTTTCTGAAGATACACAGCGAATTTTGAGATTATCTTTGGACGAATTTTCGTTGCCGAAATTTTATCTTCTTTTCGGTATAAGCAAAGTAAAATCAGCAGCAGTTACTGCGTTTCGATCTAGTTATCGTCACCCTAATGAAAGATGGTTAAATGCAGAAAGAAGCTTTTCTGGGCCTTCTGCTGATAGAGAAAAACTGTCTTTAATTTCGTTAGAGGTAATCACTGACGCGTTATTAGAAATAATGGAAGCTTGCATGCGTGATATTCCAAACTGTGATTGGTTAACCAGCTGGACTAATTTGGCAAAAAGTTTTGCTTTTTGTTTTAATCCTGCCCTTCAACCGAGGGCTCTTATTGTTTTTGGATGTATTAGTAAAAGCATTACTGATGTTGATATGAAACAGTTATTAAGAATTTTGGTAAAAGCTTTGGAGAGTTTTAACGATATGGTACTTATTGAAGCAATTGTTATGTGCTTGACGAGGTTGCAGCCTCTTTTGGATGCAGAATCTCCTATTCATAAAGCTCTCTTTTGGGTCGCAACATCTGTTTTGCAACTAGACGAAGTCACCCTTTATGCAGCTGGTTTAGCACTTTTAGAACAAAATCTTCATACTCTCGATTCTCAAGGAATCTTTGACGATAAGGTTAGTTTTGACTTTAATTTGAGTGTAATTACTATTGACATTGCTATTTGTAGACGTTAGAGCAAGTAATGATGTCCACTAGAGAGCCATTAGAATGGCATTTCAAACAATTGGATCACGCTGTTGGACTTAGCTTTAAAGCAAATTTTCATTTTGCTTTGGTTGGCCATTTATTAAAAGGATACAGACACCCCTCTCCTACAACAGTATCTCGGACATCGAGGATTTTAACTATGCTACTATCTATTGTTGCGAAACCCCATCAGCGAGATAAGTTTGAAATTACTCCAGATAATGTAGCTTATTTAACAGGTAAATACTGTAGGATTGTAGTTGATATAACAAATTAGGCTTTCGAGTTATTGTTTATATGAAAATGTTATAAACAAATATACAAAAGGAAGCCTTTAGTTGATGTAGGTTCCTTGGTCAATATTATTCTTTCGTTTTTGGTTAATCCAAACAAAAAATAATAAATTCTTGTTCTTGCATCGTTTATAAATTAATTTTTTATATACGAATATAAACCGGAAAATTTTTTTACGCATCTACTTCTTTTATACAATAACTCGGTGTTTTAAATGTTTAAATATCTTTTTTGTAATTGTTCGATACTTAGTGCTCCTTTATTGTCATTGTCTCTTCATATTCGTTCAGATGAAACAGAATAGTTTTTGTTTAACGCGTCGACCTGGTCATTTAATTTATAAATAATTTTGTTCTTAGAAATTCTTCAGATCTTAAGATTCATCGTGCCACTGCTGCGAAAAAGTGTCCTTTTTATTTATTCTTATTACTGATTCCTGCATAGACGACAATTATGTGAGACTTACTTAAGTCAAGAACTTCAGTTGTAATTAAAATTGCTATAGCTACCAGTGTCGATTATCTCATAATTTATTGTAGCATTAGTTGGTGTTTCCGAAGAAGTGCGCAGCAGATGTCACATTAAATATTCGTTGGAACATTTTATGCCTAATCCTGTATCTGAAGATAAATATTTGCCCGAATGTTTACCTCCAGCAATTCAGCAGATAAATAATACCGGTTTTATTTTTTCATCCACAAGTTCCAGTATAAATCAAAGACAAAAGCCATGGGACCTTCTGGATCAACCTGCTATTTCTCAAATAAGACACAATAAACGGTCAGTTAGCCATCAGGTATTTTTAATATGATTGATATAACGTTTGTTCGATAAATTCCACTTTTTTAAATTTAGAGTCGAAGTGTAAGAGTATCTGTAAGCAACGACAATAATATTTTATTAGATCCTGAAGTTCTTACTGATTTTTCAACTCAGGCATTAGTTCTAACAGTAATGGCAACTCTGGTTAAATATAGCACAGATGAAGCAGAGATAAGAATTCTTTATCAGTACTTGGCAGAAGGTGCAGTTGTCTTCCCAAAAGTATTTCCAGTAATGTAAGTATTTCATTTATATTTTCAACACAAGGTATATGATCAGGAATTTCAGATATAATTTACTTGACATGAAAATAAACAATATTCTGCAATCTTGCCACGACCAAGTTATTCTTAATTCTGTAAGAAATATTATTCAAAATATGGTAGCTTGTGAAGACACAAGTCAGCAGCAGTTGCACTATTTACAAAGTTGCGGATTTGGAGGATTATGGAGATTTGCAGGCCCATTTAATAAAGTAAATGTTCTTAATAGTTTAATAAATAAGTTGACATGAACATCACTTTCAGTACAATACAACAGCAGAAAGTGGGGAGCTATTTGTAAACTGTTTAGAAGCCATGGTAGAAACATGTCTTCATATTGAAGAACTGGAAGGCGAAAACGGGGAAATTGAACAGTATCCATCAATGTTAAGTGTTGGTTCAAATATGAATTTGTCATCAAGTTTGTCGAGCCTTACATTGGGTTCTCCAACAGAGAAGGAACGTTATGAAACAAAAGATTTGGAAGTGGGATGCAGCTCATCATTAGGAAGGTCGTCTTTTAGTAAACCCCGAAAAATAAAAACAAAACCATCATATGCTAATTTAGACACTTTTTCAATGACTTATCCTCAAAAAAACCAATAAGCGAATCTTTGATACTCGCGTATTCATTTTTTTTTAATTATTAACCTTTGAAAATACGTGCGAATTGCGTTATGTGACGGTTCTTTTAATTCTACTACAAATAATTGGAAACGAATTCTCAATTTTGTTTCTACATTAAAGCCGGTGTTATGCTTGTTTCCTATGCTAAAATTATTTAGTAGATATTGAGTATATTCATAATTTCCTTTCATTTATGCATAAAGTTCCAAAATGTGTGATATGGGTAATAATGAGTACTTTCTTGACATAAATATTTTGAAATAAATGAGAAAACTAGAAGAGTTAAATCCCAGCTTTAACTTTTTATTCTTAAATTTTGTAAAATTTAGTGTTTAATAAAATACAGTAAATTAGTTTTAGAAGCCTGAAAGGAAATTCATGAAATGAATCAATTGGTGATCCTTTTTTCTGAAGATGAATCAAGAGTAGTAACGAAGATTTGTAATGAGATTATAATAATAATAAAATCAAATTTTCACATCAACCTGCTATTTTCAGACTTTTCGTGACTTATTTTTCTATTGAGTACCTTTGTACTATTACGGATGGAACCCAAGAAAATCGCAACTATTATCAAAACATGCTGCATCCGCGTCTACACCTCGTGGAAAGTAGTGGAGTCATTTCGTTTAGAGGTAAAGTATTTTGCGTCTAATATGTACTCTACTAATAAGTTTAAAGAGTTGCACCAAATGGATGTTTAAGCATTAGTCATTTGTAAATATTGTAAAAATGTACATGTAATAAATAGAATAAGCTGACTGATTGTTAGTCGTTCAAATGACACAAAGTATTACGGAAAAAATTAAATTAACTATTGCCCTCGCCCTTGTAAGTACAAGAATTATGAAAGAGTCATCACTACGTGGTTGAAATAAGAATGTGCCATTAAAAGGAAGTTGATTTTTTAAAGTTTATCAGCAGATTGTACAAAACACGTAGTTAGTGAAGCTGTTAAAAATTGGCAATGAAAGAACTAATTTTAATTATTAAAAATTAGATGAAAATAAAAAAGTTTCAATAGTTCAAAATTAATAGTATGTAATTTTTGACAGTTCTCATTTGATTTTTAATATTTAAAGTACTTTGTTTCATTGCTAATATTTAACAATTTCTGCAAATTAAATTCTTCAGAAGTGCCCCATGCAATTAGTTAGTTATTTGTCGTTTTTTGTGCAACACTGATTTCTTTAACAGTGTAATCTCCTTAAGACTGAATTTTTGGCGTTGTTTATCTTTCATCTTTATTCAAAGTCATAAACAAGTGCATAGTTTGCATAAAGAACGATACATACTGAGTAGGTACAACGATTATATTCGACAGCGTAACAGTGTGAAAATTGCAAATATGAAACGTACTTCTAATAAATATAAAGAAAAAACAAAAATTACATATAGTTTTACATAAAACTTTATTACAGCATAAAATTTACTCTGTTCGTTTGAAACTAGTCGCTTGTGTTTAAAAGTTTTGTGATAAAATGTTTGGTGAAACTATATATTTTTTTTTTATTTAAAAACGTAATTTTTATTTTGTTATAAATCAATTTCTCCCTTATTAAACGAGATGAACATTTAATAATGTATTATAGTTGTTATCAAATACCAGTGAAAAGGATTTTATATTTGGAAATTACCGAGGTACACATTCAACCACCAATTTAAAGCGATAAATTAATTTACCCCTTATTAAACCAACTCAAAGTACCACAATGTGTTAATGTTGTGGCTCATCAGTAAAAAGAATTTAAAGTTCTTAATTATCGGGGTGCACTTTCAACCCCACTATAAGGACGTCGTTATTATTTTTTAGATAAATTAATTTCTTCCTTATTACTGAAATTAGGCATCTTGAGTTGTATGCAACTTAAAATGTACAGCAGTGTGGCCAACTCCAAATTAAAAATTGACTACGTCCATGCATAAAATGATTTCCGAGTTTCGCTTGATGTTCCTAATATTATTTTAGAAAATAAAAATATGTTGTAATGTATGGGACTCGATAAATTCAAATATAATTTGTGAATACTCATAGGCAAATTGATCTACATCGGTGTATATGGTTGCATATGCAATTTCTTGTTTTTTAATTTTTTCTTGTCCGCTTCTCGGTTATTTTCTTTCACAATTTAGTTGGTGTGAATTCGGCGACGCAGATATAAACATCTGCTTTGAACTTAACCAATAAGATGTACGTCGCTTATGGGCTCTAAATATGTACAGCGTAATTGTGAGGCGACACTAAAAACCGCAAGACTCCGCACCTTTTGCGCAGGCGCGAAATTGACTCCTGTCAAGAATGTCTATGAGAATCGCCTTGCCCCCCTTTTTCATATTTTTAAATCGTTCTAACCTCTAACTACATTTTTAACCGTCAATTGAATTCATGGTTAATCGTGTATGCTGATTTATTTCATTCGTTTTTGGATTTCCTTCACCTGCAGAATTGTGCACATGCAACAGTGTTTAATCTATGCATTAAACAAAGACTCATAATCATTGTTTAAAAAGCCAATTTATTCTGCTTTCTTAAAACAATTACTTATTTTTGTGTTTAGTTTATAAGTGGTGCTGGTGTAAATAGCGTCGAACAATTTAATGTATTTCTTTATATTATTAGGCAGACGTTTTTACGTTATATCTGTTATATTATATTAATCATTTTCAAAATCAGAAAAATATAAATAACAAAGAAGTACATCAAGACCGTGAAACGCAATTGAAGATAGCAATGGAAACGTATCGCA